TCGCCAATGGAAAGTCGCCCTGATCTGATGGTATGTACGGCCTACCCCTTGGTGCCCACCCTCTTGACTAGTATGGTAATGGTGTAGGACGTCTTGTTGCCGCAACTCTTAAATTATTAGACGAATTGACTCTCCACGATCTTCGCTCTTTACTGCCACCCTGGGGCAGAAAAATAGCAGTCCACTTTGGTCGACTGTGTAGTCTGGTGAGATCAGTATGCAAATCTTTGCGTCTCTAGCACTCAGCGTGGCTATACCCCGATCAGATATGTCTTCAAGTCCGATATCCAACTTTCCTCATTTTGCGCCTGGTTTATACGTGCGATCCGGACTTTTGTACAATTTCTTCTCGTAAAAATGTCTGAGGGCATCGTCTTCGCGTCGTTGATCGCGTGATCGCGGCTACCTTGACTGAGTGGTTAGTCTTTTTTGGTATCAGTAGTTCATTTAACCGATTAAGGGTCACGAGATCGTCTCGTTCTTGGTCTGATACTGCGACATTTCCTTTCTCCTGACGTAACGCCTCACTCGCTAGTCGATCAGCACTCTGGTTCCAGTCCCGTTTCACATGTAGCAATTCGTGTTTTGGCCACGATCGGAGTTTCTCCATTGCCTCATGTTTCAAAAGTTGTAGACCTGATGCTTTACAGTCAATTTCACGTCGCATCTGTCTTATTACCAACTTCGAGTCACCACAAAAGATCACCCGACCTCTGATCTGATCGGACAGTGACTCCAGACCCAGCAACAGCCCACCATATTCTGCCTCGTTTACCGTCAAATCTTCCGCAAATTCTGAAGTAGCCACCACGATCGTCCATTCAGGCAACTTCCATATCATTGCGCTGTAAGCGCTACCTTTCTTCTTTACCCTAGCCGGTCCATCGAAACTGACCACCAGGACACTTCCGTCTACTTCGACTGTGGGTGGTGACATACTAATGTTTTCCGTGGTTGTTTCCTTGGAGCGATCGCGATCAGCACTTCATCTACATCCTTTCGAGGTGTTATACTTGCAGCCGGCGTACCTAGTACTTTTTCTTCGCCTTTTTCGCACCGTCTGATATCTAACGTCCAGTTCGATAGTAACGCCGCCCACTTTCCTAGTCTTCCGTTAAGAATCGACGACTGCAATAGCCAAGCCAACGTCGAGTATCTCGTAAGCACCATAATCTCCTGCAAAACCAACACCGTACAACAAATGTCTAACATTAGGAGGAGGGCAAGCAATTTTTTCTCAACAATTTCGTAATTGACTTCGTTAGAATGTAGTGTGCGACTAGAAAAAATGACAGGCCAATACGTGCCGCCATACTCTTGAAGCAATGCGGCTGATACCGCCCACTTACTGGCGAACACCACAATCACCGGTGCTCGATCTGGATCGAAAAGTCTTAAGATCGTTGTTTTAGCAATTTTGCCCTTTATCAAGTTAAAAGCCATCACCGCTTCCTTCCATCGACTTCCATTTCCAGAGTCTGAATCGCCTCCTGTTTGCCGGTCCAGATCGTCGCCGGACTCATTTCGCGAATCGTGATCACGATCGGGTTCACTGTTGGATACCATTATCCGAACTTCTTTAACTTGGCTGATCTCGTGGAAATCTGCTGCCCGTAGCTGGTAGAGCACTTACGCATACATACATAGCGAAGTCTTCGATAAAACGACTGTAGTAATTTAGGCCTCCCAAGAATGATTGCATTAATCGCAGAGTTCGAGGAAAGGGAATATCAGCAATTGAGTTTAAATCCTTGGGGTGGCCTTTTAACCCTTTGTGTGAAACTTGGTGGCCTCATAGTCGACCTTACAGCTCCCCTAGAAACTCTTTGCCACACTGATCGATAGTTTCCATCGGTCACACATCTCTAGCAATCGTTACAACTTTTCATACAGGGATGACCAGGATTTAGCAGGTATCAAGATGTCACTGATATAGAAGATATGGCCTAAAACGGATGGTCTTGGATCTGTGTCCAGCACTCCGTCAGTGAACACATCGGTTGGTGTCGACGATGGTACTGCATGCTGGTTAGGAGTTGGGTCGATCTTGAGATAACCATGTATTGCATTGTCGATAAGTCGTTGTTATGTCTGGGGGGCGTTTTTTAGCCCGAAAGGCATTCGCAACCATTCAAACAAACCCGACGGCGTGATGAATGCAGAAATAGCTCTTGCTCGTTCCGTCATTTCCACTACCCAAAAACCACTCGCCATATCTAACGAACAATACCACATCGCTTTATCCAAGTCTTGTAATAATTCCCTGATTAGTGGCATGGGGTATTTTCAGCAATCTTGTCAACTGATTCACCCTCCTGTAATCGATGCACAGCTGTGTGTCCTCCCCATTTTCTTGATAATCACCACGATCGGAGAAGCCCAAGGTGAAATGAACGGTTTAATGATCTTGGCTGATGAGAATCCCTTGATCAGGTCCGCCAATTTTTCTCGATATTTAGGTGCCACCGGCCGTACTCTTTGCGCGATCGGTGTGGCACCTCCAACATCAATGTCACATACTGCTCCACGCGCAGCTGGAGGCAAGGCGTTTCCTTTGCCTATGAGTAAGTGGCGATTCTTCCAAATCAGTTGCCTCAGCTTTTCCTGATCGTCTGTCAGCGGGACACCTGGATCGCCAACCTGGATGTCATCTATAGCCACTTCCTTTGTGGGCGCAATTATATTCTGGCAAGAGTGCCATATGTTGGTCCACATCTTCCGCAAATAAATCCCCACCATCGTGGCGATAAGCCACCGATTTTGTTTGAGTCTCGTCTGTTACGTCTCCCTCGCGATTCAGTACCGTAGCATTCTGCATCTTTTGATCTGACAATTCGAGCTCTTGATCGTCTCCGACCGGGTGATCATCGCCGATCGCGATCTCTTGTGCTTTTCTGATTACGTTTTCCGAGTGTTCTTGTGAACGAAATCCCTCTTCTGCCTTCACTGCGGTATTGACCACGGCAGGTGCCTCTAGTGATCGTTGCTCGTCGCTTTCGGGGCGATCCTCTTACACGATCTGGCGTTCTGTGAAATTCTTTATCTTTGCTTGTGGAGCTAGCAGATCTGATCGGCTTCCCTCCATATTCCTTCCTTGTTTATCTCTGTGGGTCAGAATCTTCTTTGGGATGGGGTTTGACGGTTATTTCACTAAGTGCCTCGAATACTCGATCGGGCGTTCCTTGGTTAATATCGTTGTACCTCTAAACGCCAGAGTCTGCCATTCATTAAACTGGCGTGATCCAAATGATACATAGCCCGGCGATCGGGGTATCACGTCCGTCATCATCCTCCTACCTAAAGGGATATCGTGATTGAGAATCACCTGCTGATCGACGATGTTGGTCAGTATCAAGTACTTGATCTGGCCCGGTCCATTAATCACCGTCGGCATCCCTTTTTTATCCCGTCTCACCCATAGTTTGGACTAAGGAAAACCTGCTCTAATCCTCGTCTCCGTGTACTCTCCAGAATGAATAACTATATGTTGGTCTGAGATAACGATCGGTTGCATATTTACCCCATACGGAGGCCTGCGCCCTGCCAAGTGAATTTTCACCTCACCTGGCAAACAAAGCGTACCGTCCGCCAGATCTAACCGTATTCCCGCTGGCACCATAAAGTCCATACCTAAAATCGCTTCTTGGCCCAATTGATCGCCCACCCAAACGTCAAAGTAATACACCAGCGTTCCGTTTAATGTAATCTTCACTTTGGTGCGTCCTTCCGTCATGTAGGCATTCGCCATGATTCCCACACATTCCTGTCTTTGGCTATCATCAATCACACATCCCACCTTACGAGCAAAGGTGGCGTATATGATTGAGACTTCGGCTCCAGAATCGAATAGCATGGTGGCCTTCTCGTTATTGACTTTACCCACCGCTTTAGCCTGTTTAAACCATTTTCCTGGTGTGTGATAGTTCCAATGTCCTCTCAATCCACCCGGCGCTGGATCGAGTTCCATCTTAACCAAAAATCTTTAATGTCCATCTACCTACTCTACACTTGAAATATTACACAAACGATGGTGTTCCAAATCACATGTAGCAGCGGTTGGGTCGATCCGATTGTTACTCCCTTGATAGATCCTGCCCTTCTCCACAAATGCATGTATGCATAGCCTAGAACTCTCGGCTCGTGCCAAATTTCATCCTGGCGAGCGTCCTAGTTTAACATCTCTTCTGCCTTGGTCGGTAGTAGTCCTGCGTGCTTGGTTAGGACGTACCACTTGCGGATCAGGTTGTAGAACTCTTCCATGGGACATTGGCCGCTCTCGTGAACTTCCCCACGAGCGGAACACACATGTAGACACTTGTCCGAGGGGTGCCCTTTTCGGCCACACTTCTGACAGGTCAATCTTTTCCAGCACCCGCGATCTTCATGTATTTGGATTCGCAGTGTGTGCAGGCTTTGGCAACTCTTCCCCGATCGCGATCATCATCTCGGTCTGTCTTTCGCGATCTGTCTCGTTGATCCCCTGAAACTGCAGCCTGATCAGTTATAGTCGTCACACAAACCTTACGGCGAAAATTTTCTTCATCTGCATCGTCCGAACTTAAGCCTGAGTCGCTTTCCTCCCTTTCTGCACGAATGGCTTTCTCTATCCGTGGTGTCTTCGAACATACTTGGGCTGGCATCGTAGCCGATCACGATCGGTACTTTTTCGAATCATTCGGATCCTTATTCTGTCGAAAACTCATACGCTGATAAGCGCGTAGAGATTATTCCATCGTGTTAGCATCGTGTACTCGCAATAGGGTCAGTTGCTTCACCAACTCTCGATCATCCAAAGTGTCAATGAAGTGTTCTGCATGCTCAGGTCGGCTTGCTGGCGATCCATCTCTGAACGCCACTTTTGCTCGCATTCCTGATACATTCAACCGGTCCAAGTATTCCAACGGGGTTCTATTCGGTCTCTTCCGCGCGTGTTAGTATTGTCTTCCAGCTGACATTCCATATCCTCCATATCGGACCATGAAGCCTTCCGACAACGACTTCTAATCATTGCGGGTCGATCGGCTCAATTGGCTGTACCAATTTCGGGCAGGTCCTGTGAGCAGGTCTCCAAATACCAGACATTTCTCGTCTTCTGGAGCCTGATCGCGTAGAAAGGCAGTCTTCATCTTGTTAAACCAACCTCTAGCACGTTCTTCGTCTTGGTCACGTACTGAAAATTCTTTCAGATCGGCCATCGCCGACAATCTAATCCTCTGTGCGCTGAAATCTTCCGTAGGGGCGGTTCCTGCAGTTGCCACTTGTGGTCGTCTTAGATCATATAATTCCCTGCGATCTGACTCATGTTCTCCCAGTCGATCGCGGTATGAGTCTACTGACTCCATGTCGACGTCCGGGACGATCGGGTAGTTAGCTCCTTGTTCTTCGCGATCGCGAATGAATTTGTCCATGGCGGCTTCGAAACATAATTGCAACTGGCTTGGCTTCACCGTGTTTGCATTTTGTGAACCCGGAATTTGAGTTGATCGTATTCCACTTTTAGCCGGGTCGAGCTTGTTTTCAAGCATTGCTGCCCCTGTCGGTCCCAGCGACATCCGCTGCATCCCAAAGGACTCGTCTGAGTCCATTTCTGATTCTGCCGAGGCATAGCGTGACGACCCCGTGTATTCCGCTTTCACGTTAAGGACGGTTGACTCTCTCCCTTGGCTCACGTGTCCTTCTTCACTCTTGATTCGCTGGCTCAGATGTCCTTTTTCACTCTTGATTCGTTGGCTCATACGGTTGTGAGACCCTGTCAGTGTAGTTATCTTTTCGAGTAGTAGCTGTCCTGCTTTGATCACCCGATCGTAGTTTAAATTTCAAGTGCGTTTGAGTGTCGAAAGCTCCAGCTAGAAATCCATCGTCTCTAAGCAGCGAATAATCCGATGAAGAGCCTCCAACTGATTCGAGGTCACTTTCGGTGGCGATACTGGACCTTGGATTGACCCGATCAGCTTTGGTTTCAGCACCTTTAGGACTGGGTCTTCTGCAAGAAGTTTCTTTAGTTGTTGCTAATGGAATTCATGGGCGATCCGTTCCAATTACCAGCCTTCTGATTCCACATCTTGACCTCTTGACTTGATCTCTTGCTTGTTTCGATGTGGCTCTGCCGTCTTCGTCTTTGAATGGGCCAACTTAGGAGTGTGTCTCCTCGCCTTTGGTTGGGCGGTAGTTTTAGATGAAGATCTATCAGTTTTTACTGAACGATTTCCATCTGGCAGATCATGATCTGCAGCACGATCCGCGGTGGTACCCAACGGGAACTCAGGAGGGGTTTGAGGTTTTTCTTCCAGATCAGCTTGGTGATCTTCCTCTTTGACTTGCTTGTCATCACAGCCCCTCCCACAACTGTGATGATCTCAGGATCCTTTCTCTTCACGCGTCTGTGGCGATCCATATCCCGCTGACGCTCCAATCCCAGATTCAGTCTTGATCTTAGCATCTTCATCTCGGGACTCACGGTGAAATCCCAAGTCACCAGAAGATCCGGACACGCGCACTATTGTGGTGGAGTGGAGTTCGCCCATTTTTGAGGTGATCCCGACTCTTCACTGGCGCCCAGACGACCGACTAACGGAGGGGGTCCTCCGATTCCGCTTGCACTTGTTCTCTCCTCACCTTGTGTACCCGTCGGCAGGGCGGGTTGCAATCTTCTAGGTGGACTCGACGAGATGCTAAACTTGACCGTTGTAGAGATTGGTGCTAATCGGGTGGAAAATCCTCACCCGATCGCATGTTCTGGGTTGGCGCTCTCCTAGAGTCGCCGTGATCTGCCCTGATCACCTTGTGCCAAATGTGTACTTGAGTCGCGAGCCTTTCTGGCCACTTAAGCCGTCTCGCGATCTTGTACTTCAACCGATACGGTTGGCTGCGTCCGATCGCAGTAGGGGTGTGTTGAGAGTCCTAGCACTCCTGGCCAAATATCTCCAGGAGTGATCGTTCTCTCCTTGATGTCAAGATTCTCAGACGTCGGGAGGCCAAAATATCCAACCCGAGAGAAGATCGACACGAATGTGTTTAGAATCAAATTGAATTCTTTATTAATCGGTTACCAAACAAATAATTCGAATGGAATTACACAATGCCTGGCCAAACTATCCAGCAATTGATACGTCTCGATGACACGCGTTGTCCTTGACATCGGGAGGTGCCTGGCCAAACTTTCCAGCAATTGATACGTCTCGATGACACGCGTTGTCCTTGACATCGGGAGGCCAATATACGTTCCTGCCCGGAATTCCCTTGTATCTTACGTAGACGGATCCATGTCGAATTTCTTGATCGCATGGCTACTAAGCGCATAAAATCACGTTGAGAGACGATCCCTGGCCAATCGATCCAAAAGCAGACACTTCTAGCACGCGTGACAACATCTGGCTTCGGGAGGCCAACATACGTTCCTGCCCGGAATGAAGTCGACGTGTGCCCTTTAAGGTAAATTCAACTCTGTTTAATGTTAACCAATCAGACCCTCACACCTTACCCCTATAACTCGGAAAATCAGATGCCACGCGTCGCCTCTACAGATCGCCCCTTGTATCTATGTGGCACAGACCTGATACACCAACCGTCTGATCGCTTCAGGGCATGGTCCACGCCAGATAGCGGTACCTTGATCGCGGCCCCTGATCGCGGTCCCCTGATCGCAGTCCCCTTATCGCGGTCCCCTGATCGTGAACCCCTGATCGCGGTCCCCTGATCACGGTCTCTCAATCGCGGTCCCTTGATCGCGGTCCCTTGATCGCTGTCCCTTGATCGCGGTCCCCTGATCGCGGTCCCATGATCGCAGTCCCCTTATCGCGGTCCCCTGATCGTGGTCTCTCAATCGCGGTCCCTTGATCGCGGTCCCTTTTGCCGTTCTGAACCGTTCTGACCGGATGAGATATTTCCGTAAATAATCCCAACGGTGCCGTCCATATGATTGGTCCTCGTCCAACGATCGTTCCGCCGGTCTCCAATCCGTACGTAGGCATAAGTTTGGGGTTATACGACACCGATCTTGATCGACTTTACCACACTTGACTGCATGGGTTGGAGACGTAATCCATCAATCGCAGAAGAGACTAATCTTCTGCGTATGCTTTTCGCACGTTGTCGAGCAGATTCGACGACGGAACACTCACTGCTAGTGTCGCTACAGTGGGATCACCCATACTGTTGTGTTGAGCAGTCGGCTCGAAATCGGGCTGTCACGAAATAGCATCAGCGACGACGTTAAGTCGTCCTGATTTACACTCGACGGAGAAGTTGTTTTAGCGAAGAAAGACAGCCACCTCGCCATTCATTGCGAGATGTGCGGACTGTTTACGGCCGTGCGTAACGACGCGTGGTCGTTATAAACGATGAAGGGCCTATCTCCTAAGATATATACCCGAAACTTAGCCAGTGCATATTTCATGGCAAGGGGTTCCTTGTCATCAACCGGATAATTTCGCTCAGCTGCTTGCAGCTGACGCGATTGATAGCAGACGGCGCGCTCAACGCCGTCTGAGTCGTACTGCATTAACGCGCAGCCGATTGCAAAATTGCTGGCGTCACAGAACACATGTAATGGTCTGTCCTGATCTAAAATTGCCAACACAGGCGATTGCACCAAGCTTTTCTTGATACCTTCAAAAGAGTGCTGACACTCAGCACTCCATGACCACCTCTGATTTTTTAGCAGATGAGAAAGATGTACGGTCATCTCGGCATAGTTGCGCGAGTATTTGTGCAAGTACGCCGCTAAGCCAATGAACTTTTGAAGTCACTTGGCGTCGACTGGCACAGGCCAGTCGCCAATCGCCTTGATCTTTCCGGGGTCAGGGCTTACATCGTTTTTACCCACGATGGAGCCAAGAAGTGGTATTTTGTTCGCTGCGAATGGACACTTCTTGAGGTTCGCGAACAACTTATGCTTTCGCATGATTGTAAGAACCTGTCGGACGTGGTATCTATGAACCTCACTTCCGTCTTTCCATCCATAGCCCGGCTATGGACGAAGACATCGTCGAAGTAACTCGGTGCGAAATCCCGGTCCGATCGCAACAGACACATCTGTTAAAACGTTGCAGGGGCGTTACTTAGCCCATGTGGCATCACTAGCCACTCCCGGAGCATACCACTGGGGGTGCTCACTGCTGTGTAAGGGATATCCCGTTCACGCATGAGGATCTGATAGAATCCATCCATCAAATCCATGGATGAAAACATGGTACTTTTTACCATACCATATATGATGACATCCTTTTTTTGGCAGTGGCGTTTGAGCCGTTACCGTTGCAGATTTCAGTTTGTTGAACGCGTGCACTATCCACCACCCTCCTGTGTCCTTTCGCACACAGAAGGTCGGAGAGCTGTGTGGGGATGTTGATTCTCTCACATGACCTGCCGCTAAACGATCGGCAAAGAACTTGTCAATCGCTGTTACCTGTTCACGAGGCAGTGGCCACTGCTTCACTACACAGTACTTCGAAACGGGTTTCAGTTCGATCTCATGCCGATTACCTTGTCCTAGGAGAGCTCGCATGGCACGGATTCCGGGAAAACATCCCTGAACTCAGCCAAATCCTTATACAAAGGATTTGTCTTTAAAGAATCCCAAAACTGAGACGTGTATCGCTCAATCCGGGTCTTCTCATCGAGGACACTCTCGTCCATCGATGAGCTACTGAGAACCCGTTCGTTCCCAGCAAAACACTTGTGTCGACCGAATATCGGCGACTTACTCGTCCTCTGTGACGAGTGCGCAGATCTGCTTGATCTTGTCGCTACGCAGATCTCGCATGAACCTTTTAGGTTCGTGCGTTGACAGCTTGACTACATCCGAAGCTGACTTCAGGTTCGTCACCAGATCAAGTGTATAAGCGCCTACACTTGATCCGTCATTCACCAAGACATTAACTGACTCGGTGATTTCCGGGGAAAACACATCCGCAGGTGGTTGGGGATCCACACCCTCAACATCACTCTCTCGGAAGTTATCACTCTCAGGAACGCTGGAACTTTCTTCCATTACGCGTACTAGCTGTGGGTGTGCTACCACAGTCACGTCCTCTTCGATCGACTCTCTGATAGTCGATCTCGCTTCAACGTGAAGTTCATCCTGAACGACACTAGTCTCTCTTCTCGGATGCACCCTTCTTGTAGTGCGTCCGTGTTCCAGTCCACTCGATCTCTTCGAGTGGTGAACCTTCGGCGCAGCCTGTGTCTTTACACAGGTGCCGGAAGATGGTTTCACAGTGTATTGGCCTGCTACACTGTGATCTTGTGCAATCGTACTAACGACCGTACCACAAGTGAGACCATCGCACTCACTCGTAGTACATCCACACGCTTGCGGACGCTCCAAAACGTTCATCAGAAGGCCATCCGATGAACAAACGGCAGGCATCTTCACGGATCGATGCCTGACAGCTGACCCATGGCTGGTACTTTCTAAGCCATGGCAGACCGAGGATTACATCAAATTTGTCATCCAAATCTAATACGATAAAGTCATCATCGTACTGCTTTCCTTCTAGCGTGTAGTGGATTCGCACTACACGTTTGTTCACTGTTACGGATGCGCCTGTAGCAGGCACACCGTCATCCTCGTTCGAGGGAACTCTCGCTCAACAAAGTTAAGCCTACTATCCTCTAGCGACTAGCGTCGAATAAAACTGTTCGACGCACCACAGTCAACTAAGGGCGCGAAGTGACATTCCACTTGTCACTTCGATCTTCAAAGTGATGAGGTACACCTCATCACTAGGGGCAGTAACACACATAGACTGTTTGTTGGGAGCAACCTTCGTCAAGAGTCCTGCAAATTCTCTTGACGTTGCTGGATCAGCAGGGTGCTCCGCCCCTACTGACCTTGTCCGTTTTTTGACGGTCCGACTTGCTGTCGCGGCTTAGCGACATGATCGGATACACGCCTTGCACCTTTCCTTGGCCAACGGCGGTCATTACGTTTTGTCTTTGGACGTGTTGCGTTGCTTAGGACACTACGCTCATGAGCATAGTGTCCAATCTTCTGACAGAGATGGCATCTTGCCGTTCGCTTGTGACTCAGAGAGCGAGAATTCTCGTTCTCGATGTAACAGAGGTCCATTAGTTCGGAACCTCCTGTTTCCTGATGTCTCGTCGATCGATAGTTTGACGAGCTAGCCCGAGACCGTCTCAGGCTGAAGTCTTCTTGTTCCGCATACACTATCGCCTTTTACAGCGTATGGAAGTCCTCTCGTAACATGTAGGTCTTCACCGGCCTATTCACAAGGCCGTAGATGAACACGTTGATGAGTGTGTGCTCATCAACAGGGTTCTCAGCAACGCTACTCGCAAGGTAGCGTAGGTGCTGTGCGTAAGCGTGCATGTCACGCTTACCTCGCTTTAGCCTCAAGAGTGCAGAGCGTGCTCTGAACTCGGCTCTCGGCGGCTCAAACGTCTCTTTAAGTCGAGACTTCACGATATCCGACGACTCAAACACGTTTGGGTCGTGAAGCTTGAGCCCTAAGGTCCAAGAATCTTCATCGGTTCCCTTGTACCTTGATATATCAATCTTCAAGGTTTCGGATCGACGCATGTGCGTCGGCCCGCCCATCGACTGATGAGAGCCTTGCTGCTGTAGCAAGGCTATCTTCTGTCGTTCGACGGCAAGTTACCCTTGTAGGAACTTGTTGATAGCAGCATGTTGCTGGTCTCTGCTTAGAGACTCCAACATGCCACTGATGGCGGGTTCTTCCATGAGCACACTCATGCGACCGACTACCTCCCACTCTGAGTCAGTCAGATGAGAGTAGCCTTCATGTGTGACGTGAAAGCTGTCGTCTTCTACGTCCAACACGTTCATGTTGGACGGACACTAAGCAGTCGTTGGACGGACTACAAAGTGCTACCAGGTGTAACGGGGCACCCTTTGTTTGAAGTGCCACGAAACTTCACCTACACTAGTACGTGCAGAGGAAGCTAATCTACTCAACAAATGTTAAGTAAAGAGTAAAAGGAGAACTGTATTTAGTGTAGTTAAAATATCAATATAACTTTATTCTTAATAAAACTAAATTAAACCACGCCGTCGTATGACGACAAGCTGCTCACCACTGATTGCGCGCGTCTAGCAGCGATTGGTGGCAATCTATGGTCTGTATGTCTTGTATCAAGCATCTTGGATCAGCGCATGAATATTATCCAAAAGGGGATAATATTCCTTGAATGTTATCCATCTCGTATTATATTAGTAGAATATTGTCATGCTAGACAGTATTCTTATTGACACCATTTGGTGTCAATTTCATGTATCGGGCTACCCCGTTACAGTTTCAATCTGCGCATTCTATAATGCACTCTTACAGTTTCAATCTAACGCTGCGTTGCATACCATTGGATACGACCATGTGCGATAAAGGCACTCTATGTAGCTTCTGGAGACTTACTGACAGTGTTAGTAAAGGTGGGTCAGACATTTCTACAGTACATAGTTTTTTAGTGGGTCAAACAAAAGGTAAAATAGCCAGTATCAAATCCTCGGCAAGAGTGCTAAGCGCAGATTTTTCCTCATTCATATCTTATCATCAGCCACCTCTTGCTATTAGATGCCAATTTTTATAGCTCACGCAATTTCAGCCGCGTGTGTCTTTAACTTACAACTGAAATGCGAGACTAGTAAGGAAGCTAGTCCGAATAAAGGTGAGATCACAATAATTTTTATACTTAGAGCGTTAGGTGTGGTGAGGTAGTGAGTAAAGAGGGTCAGACATGTTGTGTTGCGATGTGTGTAACGGGGTGACCCGCTACATAACAATTTATAAATAATTGCTAATAGAACATAACTATAAGAGTTATATTCTCAGAATATTGTCATAAGGACGAATATTCTGTAGCACTTACGAGTAGTTCCTAATTGGTTGATATAGGCCATTGTATCAACCAACGAAGACGCGCCACGACAGACGCACGCAATGCGTGGTGAGCAGATAGTTGATATGCACATTTGTATTCATACATAGTTAGATGAGGATAAATAGTGATTTATTGACAGACATTAACTATTATAAATACAGTTCTACTTTTTACTTTAACCAAGTACCCGCTTCTTCTTACCGTCTTCCTCTGCACGTACGAGTGTACGTGAAGTTACGAGGCACCGCCTTATTCTGTTATCAGAATAAGTAGCTTGTACTGTTACCAGTACAAGCTTCAGGGTGCCCCGTTACACCTGGTAGCACTTCGTAGTCCGTCCAAGGACCACGTTCACATCTAACATGAAAATGTTGGATGATGAAGATGACCAAAGCTTTCACGCTACGCGTAACGGCTACTCCCATCTGAGCGATGTCGAATGGGATGCGGTTGAACGAATGGGTTCAACCATGGGCATCCATGCTGTTAGCGTCATGCTAGAGGCTCTCAATAGAGATGCCCAACATGCTACTATCGCCAAGTTCATTCAAAATGAACTTGACGCTGAACGCGAGAAAGAAGCCTTGCTTCACCAACAAGGTTCTCAACAAGCAGAGTTGTTGAGAGAACAGGGTGCTCAACAGTTTGAACTGTTGAGACAGCAGCAGGCTGCTGCTGGTGGGTCGATGCACTCGCGTCGACCCGAGACTTTGAAGATTGACATCTCCAAGTATAGGGGAGTCGAAGAAGACTCCCTCTTGAGATGGTTCGTAGAATTAGACGACGCCATAAGGGCGCGTCGCATCGACGACGGGGATATGCAAGTTGCATTCGCCCAGTCAAATCTGGCAGGACGTGCCAAGACTTGAGCTTTGGGGCTCAAGTTGCATGACCCATATGCGTTTGGGTCGTTGGAAGTCTTCAAGTCGCGGCTCAGACAAACGTTTGAACCGCCTAGAGCTGAGTTCAGAGCTTGAACCGAACTCTTGAAGCTCGAGCAGGGTAAGCGTGATGTGCACGCTTACGCACAGCATATACGACATCTCACGAGTTGTATAAGTTTCAACCCGGTGGATGAACACACGTTGGTTTCGGTGTTCATGCAGGGTCTTGCAGATTGTCCCGTCAAGACTCACCTGTTCCGACTTGAACTGGATTCACTAGAACAAGCCATTTCCATTGCGGAACAGGAAGACTTCAGTCTGAGACAGGCTCGCGCCAGCTCGACATCATATCGTCCACCGAGACGATATGACAACGGAGGTCCAGAGCCGATGGAACTCTGTTATGTAGAGAGCGAGAAGGCTCGCTCTACAGACTACAAGAAGTTGCAGAGATGCAACAGATGTCAAAAGACAGGACACTACGCTTACGAGTGTAGTGCCCCTCGTCCAGTGTCTCGCAACACTGGGCGTAGTGACCGTCCACCCATGAGAAAGGGGCAGGGACGCGGGTCCGCTGTTGGTGCAAAGACGCAACAACGGGATGGACCGTAAAAACGGACAGGATTAGTAGGTGCGGAGCACCCTACTGGTCCAGCAACGTCAAGAGAATTTGTAGGCCTCTTGATGAAGGTTGCTCCCAACACACAAACGTTGTGCGTTGCTGCTCTAGGTAATGAGATCTCACTCATTACCTTGAAACTCGAAGTGACGAATAAGTTGTCCCTTCGAGCTCTAGTCGATTGTGGGGCGTCCAACAATTTTGTGCGACGCCAATCGCTAGAAGATGGTCACTTTAAATTCAGTGAATGTGACACACCTCCTACGAGGGTGACGGCACGTCTTGCGACAGGCGCATCCGTAACCGTCATGAAGCGTATAGTGAAGATCCACTATACGCTAGAAGATACCCAATACGACGATGACTTTATCGTATTGGATTTGGATGACAAATTTGATGTCATCCTCGGTCTGCCATGGCTCAGTAGGTACGAACCACGGGTAAACTGGCAACGTCGAACAGTAACGATGCCTGCCGCTTGTTTATCAGATGGCCATCTGATGAACGTTTTGGAGCGTCCACAAGCGTGTGGATGTACTACGAGTGAGTGCGATGGCCTCACTTGTGGTACGGTCGTTAGTACGACTGCACGAAACCTTAGTGTAACAAACGGTTACACTTCGGAGCAAAGTTCCGGCGGCTGTGAGGACACACAGGCTGCGCCGAAGGTCCACCACTCGAATAAGTCGGGTGGACTGGGACAAAGATGTGTCCCTAGCGGGGAACATCTGGAAGAGAAACAATCGATCGCTCAGGCTAAGCGAAACGATAATCCTAGATCGACTGGAGAGTCTTTCGTAGAGGATCTCGCTGTGGTTGCGCAACCACAGCTGGAGGAAGTTAAGGGAATAATTCCGATATTACAGATACGGTGGAAATAAGTTCCCCAAAACCCGAGGGAATAAGTCCCCGGGAAGCCGAAGGAATAAGTCCTTCGAGGCCTGAGGGAATGAGTCCCCAGGAAGTGACAGACATTGAATGTCCTAGTCAATGATGGATCAAGTGTACGCGCTTATACACTTGATCTGATTGCGCCTCCGAAGTTAACTTCGGAGATCACTCAGTTGCCAACGCTCGAACATAAAAGGTTCTTGCGTGATCTGCGTAGTGGCAAAGTCAAGCAGATCTGCATACTCGTCGCTGAAGACGAGTATGTAACCGACATAAGGTCAGCAACAGTGTTTACTGAGAACGAGAGAGTTCTCAGTAGTTCATCTATGGACGAGAGTGTCCTAGATGAAAAGACACGAATTGAGCGATATGACTCCCAATCGTGGGAATCGCTCAAGACAAATCCTCTCTATGAAGATTTGGTTGAATTCAAGGATGTATTCCCTGAAACTGCTCCGTGCGAATTACCGAAGGATAAAGGTATTCGACACGAGGTCGAGCTTAAACCAGGCTCGAAGTACTGTGTCATGAAGCAGTGGCCACTGCCTCCGTGAACAAGTACTTGCGATCGACAAGTTCTTTGCCGATCGTTTAGCTGCGGGCCATGTGAGGGAATCAACTTCCCCACATAGCTCTCCAACCTTCTGTGTGCGAAAAGAAACAGGAGGGTGGCGGATAGTGCATGCATATAACAAGTTGAATGCTGCAACGGTACCGGCTCAGACGCCGATACCAAGGAAGGACGTAATCATTGATGGTGTGTCAAAGAGTACCATCTTTTCGTCCATGTATTTGATGGATGGCTTCTATCAAATCCTTATGCGAGAACGGGACATCCCCTACACAGCAGTTAGCACGCCTAGCGGCATGCTCTGGGAATGGCTAGTAATGCCCCTGCCACGTTCAACAAATGTGTATCACATCTGTTGAGACCAGTGCGAGAATTCGCGCCGAGTTATTTCGATGACGTATTCATCCATAGTAGGGCTATGGATGGAAAGTCGGACGTTGAGATTCACAGATACCACGTCCGACAGGTTCTTACAATCATGCGAAAGCATCAATTGTATGCAAACCTCAAGAAGTGTATCTTTGCAGCAAGCAAAATACCACTTCTTGGGTGCATCGTTGGTAAGAACGGAGTACGTCCTGATCCCTAAAAGATCAAGGCGATCACCGACTGGCCTGTGCCGGTTGATGTCAGAGGTCTTCGAAAATGCCTTGGGCTAGCGGCGTATTTGTATAAGTATTCACGCAATTACGCCGAGATGACTGTACACCTCTCTCGTTTGTTGAAAAAGAACGAGAGGTGGTTATGGAACGCTGAATGTCAGCGCTCCTTTGATGGTATCAAGCAGAGCTTGATACAATCCCCAGTCCTAGCAATAGCCGATCAGGACATGCCATTTCATGTGGTCTGTGATGCCAGCGATTTCGCAATCGGTTGTGCATTAATGCAGTACGATCTTGAAGGCGTTGAACGCGTCGTCTGCTGTCAGTCGCATCAGCTGCAACCAGCTGAGCGGAACTATCCAGTGCATTACAAGGAACTACTTGCTATGAAGTATGCACTAGCGAAGTTCAGAGTCTATCTATGAGGAGATAGACCCTTCATTGTTTACACTGACCATGCGTCGTTACGCACGGCAGTGAACAGCCCGCACCTTTCACAACGAATGGCGCGGTGGTTGTCATTCTTTACGTAATACAACTTTACGGTCGAGTACAAACCAGGACAACTTAGCGTCGTCGCTGATGCACTCTCACGTCGTCCCGACTTTGAACCAGTCGTGAAACCCAACAGTGAGACAGTCACTGTTGCGGTTATGACGTCCTCAGTCCCATCTACAACGTTGCATGATGATGTGAGGCGGGCATATGCCCAAGATGGTGAGATTGTGAAGTTGTTGACACATCTCTCACAGCCATCTCGAGAATCGTTGAAACGATTGTCGTCTGCGTATCAATCTGCAATAGATCGATACACTACTCGCAACGGTTTACTGTATTATACAGCCGTTACTGGTGACACGCCACGTGTTGTCATCCCAGATGATACTGATCTGCGTTTGCGGATCATGTTCGAGTATCACGATGCTCCTAGAGGAGGACAGCGTGGCCGGGAGAAAACATATCTCACGGTGAGTCGAGACTTTTACTGGCCCCGCCAGTATCAGTTTGTGCGAAAGTACGTTCGCGCATGCGAAGTCTGCCAACGAGTGAAGTCAAGTCCTTCACTGCGTGCACCTTTACAGCCTCTACCAGTTCCGGCAGAGTGCTGGGAATCCATCTCAATGGATTTCGTATTCGGGTACCCAAAGACGCTCACGGGAATACGGGTATTCTCGTGTTTGTTGACAGATTCAGCAAAATGGTACACCTTGTGGCTGTACCAGAGTCAATCACAGCAAGTGGCTGTGCTTGTGTCTTTATCGACACCATCTTCCGACTTCATGGGTTGCCCCGTGAACTCGTATCAGACAGAGATCCACGATTCACTGCTGATTTCTGGCGTTCCGTGTTCAAATCACTCGGAACGCTCTTGAAGATGTCGACATCTGATCATCCAGAGTCAGATGGTCAGACGGAACGTGTAACGGGGTGAATCGTTACATAACAATTTATAAGAAATTGTTAATAGAATATAACTATAAGAGTTGTATTCTCAGAATATTGTCATAAGGACAATATTCTGTAGCACTTCCAAGTAGTTCCTAATTGGTTGATATAGGCCATTATATCAACCAACGAAGACGCGCCACGACAGACGCACGCAATGAGTGGTGAGCAGATAACTGATTTACACATTTGTATTTAGACATAGTTAGATGAAGATAAATAGTGATTTATTGCAGACATTAACTATTATAAATACAGTTCTACTTTTACTCTAACCAAGTACTCGCTTCTTCTTACCGTCTTCCTCTGCACGTACGAGTGTACGTGAAGTTACGAGGCACCGCCTTATTCTGTTATCAGAATAAGTAGCTTGTACTGTCACCAGTACAAGCTTCAGGGTGCCCCGTTACACCTGGTAGCACTTCGTAGTCCGTCCAAGGACCGCGTTCACATCCAACATGAATATGTTGGATGATGAAGATGACCAAAGCTTTCACGCTACGCGTGACGGCTACTCCCATTTGAGCGATGTCGAATGGGATGCGGTTGAACGAATGGGTTCGACCATGGGCATCCATGCTGTTAGCGTCATGCTAGAGGCTCTCAATAGAGATGCCCAACATGCTACTATCGCCAAGTTCATTCAAAATGAACTTGACGCTGAACGCGAGAAAGTAGCCTTGCTTCACCAACAAGGTTCTCAACAAGCAGAGTTGTTGAGAGAACAGGGTGCTCAACAGTTTGAACTGTTGAGACAGCAGCAGGCTGCTGCTGGCGGGTCGATGCACTCGCGTCGGCCCGAGACTTTGAAGATTGACATCTCAAAGTATAGAGGGGTCGAAGAAGACTCCCTCTTGAGATGGTTCGTCGAATTGGATGACGCCATAAGGGCGCGTCGCATCGACGACGGGGATATGCAAGTTGCATTTGCCCAGTCAAATCTGGCAGGACGTGCCAAGACTTGGGCACTGGGGCTCAAGCTGCACGACCCATACGCGTTTGGGTCGTTGGAAGTCTTCAAGTCGCGGCTCAGACAAACGTTTGAACCGCCTAGAGCTGAGTTCAGGGCTCGAACCGAACTCTTGAAGCTCAAGCAGGGTAAGCGTGATGTGCACGCTTACGCTCAACATATACGACATCTCACGAGTTGTATAAGTTCCAATCCAGTGGATGAACACACGTTGGTTTCGGTGTTCATGCAGGGTCTTGCGGATGGTCCCGTCAAGACTCACCTGTTCCGGCTTGAACTAGATTCACTAGAACAAGCCATTTCCATTGCGGAGCAGGAAGACTTCAGTCTGAGACAGGCTCGCGCCAGCTCGACATCATATCGTCAACCGAGACGATATGACAACGGAGGTCCAGAGCCGATGGAACTCTGTTATGTAGAGAGCGAGAAGGTTCGCTCTACAGGCTACAAGAAGTTGCAGAGATGCAACAGATGTCAGGAGACAGGACACTACGCTTACGAGTGTAGTGCCCCTCGTCCAGTGTCTCGCGACACTGGGCGTAGTGACCGTCCACCCATGAGAAAGGGGCAGGGACGAGGGTCCGCAGTTGGTGCAAAGACGCAACAACGGGATGGACCGTCAAAAAACGGACAGGATCAGTAGGTGCGGAGCACCCTACTGATCCAGCAACGTCAAGAGAATTTGTAGGCCTCTTGATGAAGGTTGCTCCCAACACACAGACATTGTGCGTTGCTGCTCTAGGTAATGAGATCTCACTCATTACTTGAAACTCGAAGTGACGAATAAGTTGTCCCTTCGAGCTCTAGTCGATTGTGGGGCGTCCAACAATTTTGTGCGACGCCAATCGCTAGAAGATGGTCACTTTAAATTCAGTGAATGTGACACACCTCCTACGAGGATGACGGTACGTCTTGCGACAGGCGCATCCGTAACCAATCATGAAGCGTATAGTGAAGATTCACTATACGCTAGAAGATACCCAATACGACGATGACTTTATCGTATTGGATTTGGATGACAAATTTGATGTCATCCTTGGAATACCGTGGCTCAGAAGGTACGAACCACGGGTAAACTGGCAACATCGGACAGTAACGATGCCTGCCGCTTGTTCATCAGATGGCCATCTGATGAACGTTTTGGAGCGTCCACAAGCGTGTGGATGTACTACGAGTGAGTGCGATGGCCTCACTTGTGGTACGGTCGTTAGTACGACTGCACAAAACCTTAGTGTACCAAACGGTTACACTTCGGAGCAAAGTTCCGGCGGCTGTGAGGAAACACAGGCTGCGCCGAAGGTCCACCACTCGAATAAGTCGGGTGGACTGGGACAAAGATGTATCCCTAGAGGGGAACATCTAGAAGAGAAACAATCGATCGCTCAGGTTAAGCGAAACGATAATCCTAGATCGACTGGAGAGTCTTTCGTAGAGGATCTCGCTGTGGTTGCGCAACCCCAGCTAGAGGAAGTAAAGGGAATAAGTCCCAAGATTACAAATACGGCGGAAATAAGTTCCCCGAAACCCGCGGGAATAAGTCCCCGGGAAGACGAAGGAATAAGTCCTTCGAAGCCTGAGGGAATAAGTCCCCAGGAAATGACAGAGACATTGAATGTCATAGTCAATAACGGATCATGTGTAGGCGCTTATACACTTGATCTGATTGCGCCTCCGAAGTTAACTTCGGAGATCACTCAGTTGCCAACGCTCGAACATAAAAGGTTCTTGCGTGATCTGCGTAGTGGCAAAGTCAAGCAGATCTGCATACTCGTCGCTGACGACGAGTATGTAACCGACATAAGGTCAGCAACAGTGTTTACTGAGAACGAGAGAGTTCTCAGTAGTTCATCTATGGACGAGAGTGTCCTAGATGAAAAGACACGAATTGAGCGATATGAGTCCCAATCATGGGAATCGCTCAAGGAAAATCCTCTCTATGAAGATTTGGTTGAATTCAAGGATGTATTCCCTGAAACTGTTCCGTGCGAATTACCGAAGGATAAAGGTATTCGACACGAAGTCGAGCTTAAACCAGGCTCGAAGTACTGTGTCATGAAGCAGTGGCCACTGCCTCGTGAACAAGTACTTGCGATCGACAAGTTCTTTGCCGATCGTTTAGCAGCGGGCCATGTGAGGGAATCAACTTCCCCACATAGCTCTCCGACCTTCTGTGTGCGAAAAGCAACAGGAGGGTGGCGGATAGTGCACGCGTTTAACAAATTGAACGCTGCAACGGTACCGGCTCAGACGCCGATACCGAGGAAGGACGTAATCATTGATGGTATGTCAAAGAGTACCATCTTTTTTCGTCCATGGATTTGATGGATGGCTTCTATCAAATCCTAATGCGGGAACGGGATATACCCTATACCGCAGTTAGCACGCCTAGCGGCATGCTCTGGGAATGGCTAGTAATGCCACAAGGGCTCAGTAATGCCCCTGCCACGTTCAACAGGTGTGTATCACATCTGTTGAGACCAGTACGAGAATTCGCGCCGAGTTATTTCGATGACGTATTCATCCATAGTCGAGCTATGGATGGAAAGTCGGACGTTGAGGTTCACAAGTACCACGTCCGACAAGTTCTTACAATCATGCGAAAGCATCAATTGTATGCAAACCTCAAGAAGTGTATATTTGCAGCAAGCGAAATACCACTTCTTGGGTGCATCGTTGGTAAGAACGGTGTACGTCCTGATCCCGAAAAGATCAAGGCGATCACCGACTGGCCCGTGCCGGTCGATGTCAAAGGTCTTCGAAAATTCCTTAGCTAGCGGCGTATTTGCATAAGTATTCACGCAATTACGCCGAGATGACTGTACACCTCTCTCGTTTGTTGAAAAAGAACGAGAGGTGGTTATGGAACGCTGAATGTCAACGCCCTTTGAGGGTATCAAGCAGAGCTTGATACAATCCCCAGTCCTAGCAATAGCCGATCAGGACAGGCCATTTCATGTGGTCTGTGATGCCAGCGATTTCGCAATCGGCTGTGCATTAATGCAGTACGACCTTGAAGGCGTTGAACGCGTCGTCTGCTATCAGTCGCGTCAGCTGCAACCAGCTGAGCGGAACTATCCAGTGCATGACAAGGAACTCCTTGCCATGAAGTATGCACTCGCGAAGTTCAGAGTCTATCTATTAGGAGATAGACCCTTCGTTGTTTACACTGACCATGCGTCCTTACGCACGGCAGTGAACAGCCCGCACCTTTCACAACGAATGGCGCGGTGGTTGTCATTCTTTGCAGAATACAACTTTACGGTCGAGTACAAACCAGGACGACTTAATGTCGTCGCTGATGCACTCTCACGTCGTCCCGACTTTGAAACAGTCGCGAAACCCAACAGTGAGACAGTCACTGTTGCGGTTATGACGTCCTCAGTTCCATCTACAACGTTGTATGATGATGTGAGGCGGGCATACGCCCAAGATGGTGAGATAGTGAAGTTGTTGTCACATCTCTCCCAACCATCTCGAGAATCGTTGAAACGATTGTCGTCTGCGTATCGATCTGCATCAGATCGATACACTACTCGTAACGGTTTACTGTACTATACAGCCGTTTCTGGTGACACACCACGTGTTGTCATTCCAGATGATACTGATCTGCGTTTGCGGATCATGTTCGAGTATCACGATGCTCCTATAGGAGGACATCGTGGCCGAGAGAAAACATATCTCACGGTAAGTCGAGACTTTTACTGGCCCCGCCAGTATCAGTTTGTGCGAAAGTATGTTCGCGCATGCGAAGTCTGCCAACGAGTGAAGTCAAGTCCTTCACTGCGTGCACCTTTACAGCCTCTACCGGTTCCGGCTGAGTGCTGGGAATCCATCTCAATGGATTTCGTCTTCGGGTTACCCAAAGACGCACGCGGGAATACGGGTATTCTCGTATTTGTTGACAGATTCAGCAAAATGGTACACCTTGTGGCTGTACCAGAGACAATCACGGCAAGTGGCTGTGCTTGTGTCTTTATTGACACCATCTTCCGACTTCATGGGTTGCCCCGTGAACTCGTATCAGACAGAGATCCACGATTCACTGCTGATTTCTGGCGTTCCGTGTTCAAATCACTCGGAACGCGCTTGAAGATGTCAACATCTGATCATCCAGAGTCAGATGGTCAGACGGAACGTGCCAACCGTGTCCTCGAAGAGATACTTCGAGGATACGTACACTCCTTTAAAAGTTGGAGTGAGTTTTTGCCAATGGTAGAGTTTGCCATCAACAACTCGGTGCATGCGTCCACGACACATACACCGTTTTACGTGAATGGCTTGCGCCATCCGCGTGTACCCACCTTACTAGAGTGTAACTCTGGTTTAAGGGGGGAGGGACTCGCGCGAGCAAAAACCGATTTGGTTCACGCTCATCACGCTCTGACGAAGAAGTCATTGCGTTTGATGCCGATATCGATAACATCGATATCGAAGAAGATGATGCCAGTGAGAGTGCGGAAGCCCTCACTGAAGACAATGATCCCAGTGAGAGTGCGGAAGCCCTCACTGAAGAAAAGGTTGTTGTCGCTGCAGTGCGCTCACAGCACACTGAAGCTAACGAGTCATCAGATGAGTTCATACTGGCTCGTGAAACGGTAGTCCGTTTTGTGCAAGACTCCATCGCCGAAGCGGTGGATAAGCAAAAGCAAAACGCTGACAAGAATGGAAGGGCAAACACTCTTTTATTTAATAAAGGTGACTTAGTCCTACTGTCTACGGTTAATCTACCAAAACATGTAGTGACTAACTTGGGTAGCAGTAAACTACTACCCAAGTACATTGGCCCATTTCGTGTATTGCACCGCCTAGGCAATGCATACACGATCGAGTTACCACGTAAGATGCGAACGCATCCCACGTTTTACGTTGGTCGGCTTAAGCCGTACCATCAGTACGCTGCTTCTTCCGATGAAGAACGCCCTTGCGCTCAAGCATCTCGCAGAGAGCCTTGTGCTCCCGATGGTGGGCATCAACAAGGGTCTGAAGAGCAGTTATCTCAGCCCGAGACCGATCAACAATCCCACGAGCTACCCTTAGCTCGTCACGAAGAGATGTCAGAGATCTCTCGTTCTCAAGCTGAGCAAAGGCAAACTCAGCTCGATGCTTCGAGGCAGTGTCCACCATCTGGAGACGCCTATTCCGCTCATGCTCGAGATCGTCGCGTAACCCTTGCGTTACGCGATCAAAGAAGCTCTCGGGAACACACCGATCCACATGATCGTGTGGAGAGCGTCTTTCCTCCTCCTCCACCTCCATTAGAGGACTCTCGCGGTGGCCAGCGCTATCTAGTAGAGCAGCTGTTGAACCACCGCGACGTGAACGGACGTCGGACGAGTTACCTCGTCCGGTGGCGCGGCTATCCCCCGTCCTGGGATTCTTGGGAGCCCCGCTCCCAATTGATGGTTGACGTACTGGGTCTGGTCGAGCAGTACGACGCGACACATCCTGTGCCGCAGAAGGACCGCCGGAGAAAGTCTTCCCGGCACGGTCGTAAAGGGATTTCAGGTTGTCAATCCCTTCGTACATCTCAGTAGAGACACGTACGCGCCACCACGGGCTGGTAAGGAGGTAAGCCTCCTTAGGTGCTCGTGCAGAGTTGTTCACACAACATGGGCACGAGTCTCCCCAAGAGAGGCAGGGTAATCCTTTCTCCCTTGACAGACGATGCAGCGTATAGCGTGCACCTGTCGGGGTTCGCTTTTCAAACTTATCACGAGCTTTGATAAGTTTGTCGTTCCAAGCGTCACGACCTACATCCTCGAGATTATGGATGTAGGCGTTCCACGCCTGAAGTAGTGAGGGACCATCACGTTTGTGATTCCCACTGTACCATCGATGTCTGAAGAAAGCATCGATGAAGAACTCATGTTCAGCGCGATAGTCTTTCGCGCTGGGGTCAAGGTGATGGATCCTTGACGAATCGAACAATCGTGTTCGATAACGATCACTCGTCGTCGCCGACAAGTGATCCATGACAGATTTTGGAGGCATCCATGCCTTCTTTTCTGGAGCGAGACGCAACACATTGCGGTCCCGCTCTTGCTGCGACGTGCCGACAGAAGTACTGGCACCTCGCTGTGAAGTGGTGTCCATTGGAGAACCGACACCACTATTAGCGCCCGAGTCTCGCGACCTCGAGCGCCTTCGCTTCGGCGATGGTTCATCTGACTCATCAGATGAACCAAAGATGCTGCGACGCAAAGCATCGTCCATGCCACGCTTGGCAGGCGGCTTGGATTCAATTGCCGTCGATACGGATCCGTCATCCGTATCAGGAGAGTACGAGACACCGAGCTCGTACTCTGTGAAGACACGAGTGTCTTCATGACCAGCGCCTGCATCACCAGGTGATACAGGCTGAGTCGATTCAGCAACCGATGGGATATCAGTTGCTGTAGTTTCTGCTTCGGCGTCCGCACAGAGACGTGCAGACGCGCTCTCGGCGGCCTTGCTCGCGCATCGCATGGGCTTGTTTACCATGCGATGAGATGTTGGAAAGTGGACGCGGACCAACAAGTGCAAACCCCGTCCCAAATGATTTGGGACGAGTATCCATTTAGTCAATCAGTCACTAAAGTGACTGATGGTTAAGGGGGGTGATGTAACGGGGTGAATCGTTACATAACAATTTATAAGAAATTGTTAATAGAATATAACTATAAGAGTTATATTCTCAGAATATTGTCATAAGGACAATATTCTGTAGCACTTCCAAGTAGTTCCTAATTGGTTGATATAGGCCATTATATCAACCAACGAAGACGCGCCACGACAGACGCACGCAATGAGTGGTGAGCAGATAACTGATTTACACATTTGTATTTAGACATAGTTAGATGAAGATAAATAGTGATTTATTGCAGACATTAACTATTATAAATACAGTTCTACTTTTTACTCTAACCGAGTACTCGCTTCTTCTTACCGTCTTCCTCTGCACGTACGAGTGTACGTGAAGTTACGAGGCACCGCCTTATTCTGTTATCAGAATAAGTAGCTTGTACTGTCACCAGTACAAGCTTCAGGGTGCCCCGTTACAGAACGAGCCAATCGTGCCATCGAAGAGATGCTTCGAGGATGCGTTCACTCCTTTAAGAGTTGGAGTGAGTTCTTGCCAATGGTAGAGTTTGCAATTGACAACTCGGTGCATGCGTCCACGACACATACACCGTTTTACGTGAATGGCTTGCGCCATCCGCGTGTACCCATCTTACTAGAGTGTAACTCTGTTTAAGGGGGGGAGGGACTCGCGCGAGCAAAAACCGATTTGGTTCACGCTCATAACGCTCTGACGAAGAGGTCATTGCGTTTGATGCCGATATCGATAACATCGATATCGAAGAAGATGATGCCAGTGAGAGTGCGGAAGCCCTCACTGAAGAAAAGATTGATGTTGCTGCAGTGCACTCACAGCGCACTGAAGCTAACGAGTCATCAGATGAATACATACTAGCTCGTGAAACGGTAGTCCGTTTTGTGCAAGACTCCATCGCCGAAGCGGTGGATAAGCAAAAGCAAAACGCTGACAAGAATGGAAGGGCAAACACTCTTTTATTTAATAAAGGTGACTTAGTCCTACTGTCTACGGTTAATCTACCAAAGCATGTAGTGACTAACGTGGGTAGTAGTAAACTACTACCCAAGTACATCGGCCCATTTCGTGTATTGCATCGCCTAGGCAACGCATACAAGATCGAACTGCCACGTAAGATGCGAACGCATCCCACGATTTACGTTGGTCGGCTTAAGCCGTACCATCAGTACGCTGCTTCTTTCGATGAAGAACGCCTTTGCATTCAAGCATCTCGCAGAGAGCCTTGTGCTCCCGATGGTGGGCAACGACAAGGGTCTGAAGAGCAGTTATCTCAGCCCGAGACCGATCAACATTCCCACGAGCTACCTTAGCTCGTCATGAATAGATGTCAGAGCTCTCTCGTTCTCAAGCTGAGCAAAGGCAAACTCAGCTCGATGCTTCAAGACAGTGTCCGCCAGTTGGAGACGTCTGTCCCGCTCATGTTCGAGATCGCCGCGTAACCCTTGCGTTACGCGATCAAAGAAGCTCTCGGGAACACACGCTTCCCCACGATCGTGTGGAGAGCGTCTTCCCTCCACCTCCACCTCCATTAGAGAACTCTCGCGGTGGCCAGCGCTATCGGGTTGAGCAGCTGTTGAACCACCGCGACGTGAACGGACGTCGGACGAGTTACCTCGTCCGGTGGCGCGGTATCCCCCGTCCTGGGATACTTGGGAGCCCCGCTCCCAACTGATGATTGACGTACTGGGTCTGGTTGAGCAGTACGACGCGGCACACCCTGTGCCGCAGAAGGACCGCCGGAGAAATTCTTCCCGGCACGGTCGTAAGAGAATTTCAGGTTGTCAATCCCTTCGTACATCTCACTAGAGATACGTACGCGCCACCACGGGACGGTGAGGAGGTAAGCCTACTTAGTTGCGCGCGCTGAATTGTTTACACAACAAGGGCACGGGTCTCCCCAGTAAAGACAGGGTAACCCACTCTCCCTAGACAGACGATGCAGCTTGTAGCGTGCACCTGTCGGGGTTCGATTTTCAAACTTATCACGAGCTTTGATAAGTTTGTCGTTCCAAACTTCCCGACTTACGTCCTCAAGTTTATGGATGTACGCGTTCCACGCTTGAAGCAGTGAGGGACCATCACGTTTGTGATTCCCACTGTACCATCGATGTTTAAAGAAAGCATCGATGAAGTACTCATTCTCAGCGCGATAGTTTTTCGCACTGGGGTCAAGATGATGGATCCTTGACGAATCGAACTGCCGTGTTCGATAACGATCACTCGTTGTCGCCGACAAGTGATCCATGACGGATTTGGAGGCATCCATGCCTTCTTCTCGGGAGCGAGACGCAACACACTGCGGACCCGCTCTTCCTGCGATGTGCCGACAGAAGTACTGGCACCTCGTTGCGAAGTGGTGTCCATAGGAGAACCGACACCACTATGAGCGCCCGAGTCTCGCGACCTCGAGCGCCTTCGCTTTGGCGATGGTTCATCTGATTCGTCAGACGAACCGAAGATGCTACGACGAGTAGCATGATCCACGCCACGCTTGGCAGGCGGCTTGGATTCAATTGCCGTCGATACGGATCCCTCTTCCGTATCAGGAGAGTATGAGACACCGAGCTCATACTCTGAGAAGACATGAGTGTCTTCATGACGAGCGTCTGCATCACCAGGTGATACAGACTGAGACGCTATGGCAACCGATGAGACATCAGTCGCTGCGGTTTCTGCTTCGGCGTCTGCACAGAGACGTGCAGACACGCTCTCAGCTGCCTTGTTCGCGCACCGCATGGGCTTGTTTACCATGCGATGAATTGTTGGACTGTGGATTTAGACCAACAAGTGCAAACCCCGTCCCAAATGATTTGGGACGAGTAATCCATTTAGTCAATCAGTCACTTTAGTGACTGATGGTTAAGGGGGGTGTGATGTAACGGGGTGAATCGTTACACAACAATTTGTAAATAATTGTTAATAGAACATAACTATAAGAGTTATATTCTCAGAATATTGTCATAAGGACGAATATTCTGTAGCACTTACGAGTAGTTCCTAATTGGTTGATATAGGCCATTGTATCAACCAACGAAGACACGCCACGACAGACGCACGCAATGCGTGGTGAGCAGATAGTTGATATGCACATTTGTATTCAGACATAGTTAGATGAGGATAAACAGTGGTTTATTAACAGACATTAACTGTGATAAATACTGTTCTACCTTTTTGTAACGGGGTGAATCGTTACATAACAATTTATAAGAAATTGTTAATAGAATATAACTATAAGAGTTATATTCTCAGAATATTGTCATAAGGACAATATTCTGTAGCACTTCAAGTAGTTCCTAATTGGTTGATATAGGCCATTATATCAACCAACGAAGACGCGCCACGACAGACGCACGCAATGAGTGGTGAGCAGATAACTGATTTACACATTTGTATTTAGACATAGTTAGATGAAGATAAATAGTGATTTATTGCAGACATTAACTATTATAAATACGGTTCTACTTTTTACTCTAACCAAGTACTCGCTTCTTCTTACCGTCTTCCTCTGCACGTACGAGTGTACGTGAAGTTACGAGGCACCGCCTTATTCTGTTATCAGAATAAGTAGCTTGTACTGTCACCAGTACAAGCTTCAGGGTGCCCCGTTACACCTGGTAGCACTTCGTAGTCCGTCCAAGGACCGCGTTCACATCCAACATGAATATGTTGGATGATGAAGATGACCAAAGCTTTCACGCTACGCGTGACGGCTACTCCCATTTGAGCGATGTCGAATGGGATGCGGTTGAACGAATGGGTTCGACCATGGGCATCCATGCTGTTAGCGTCATGCTAGAGGCTCTCAATAGAGATGCCCAACATGCTACTATCGCCAAGTTCATTCAAAATGAACTTGACGCAGAACGCGAGAAAGTAGCCTTGCTTCACCAACAAGGTTCTCAACAAGCAGAGTTGTTGAGAGAACAAGGTGCTCAACAGTTTGAACTGTTGAGACAGCAGCAAGCTGCTGCTGGCGGGTCGATGCACTCGCGTCGACCCGAGACTTTGAAGATTGACATCTCCAAGTATAGGGGGTCGAAGAAGACTCCCTCTTGAGATGGTTCGTCGAATTGGATGACGCCATAAGGGCGCGTCGCATCGACGACGGGGATATGCAAGTTGCATTTGCCCAGTCAAATCTGGCAGGACGTGCCAAGACTTGGGCACTGGGGCTCAAGCTGCACGACCCATACGCGTTTGGGTCGTTGGAAGTCTTCAAGTCGCGGCTCAGACAAACGTTTGAACCGCCTAGAGCTGAGTTCAGAGCTTGAACCGAACTCTTGAAGCTCAAGCAGGGTAAGCGTGATGTGCACGCTTACGCTCAACATATACGACATCTCACGAGTTGTATAAGTTCCAATCCGGTGGATGAACACACGTTGATTTCGGTGTTCATGCAGGGTCTTGCGGATGGTCCCGTCAAGACTCACCTGTTCCGGCTTGAACTAGATTCACTAGAACAAGCCATTTCCATTGCGGAACAGGAAGACTTCAGTCTGAGACAGGCTCGCGCCAGCTCGACATCATATCGTCAACCGAGACGATATGACAACGGAGGTCCAGAGCCGATGGAACTCTGTTATGTAGAGAGCGAGAAGGCTCGCTCTACAGGCTACAAGAGGTTGCAGAGATGCAACAGATGTCAAAAGACAGGACACTACGCTTACGAGTGTAGTGCCCCTCGTCCAGTGTCTCGCGACACTGGGCGTAGTGACCGTCCACCCATGAGAAAGGGGCAGGGACGAGGGTCCGCAGTTGGTGCAAAGACGCAACAACGGGATGGACCGTCAAAAAACGGACAGGATCAGTAGGTGCGGAGCACCCTACTGATCCAGCAACGTCAAGAGAATTTGTAGGCCTCTTGATGAAGGTTGCTCCCAACACACAGACATTGTGCGTTGCTGCTCTAGGTAATGAGATCTCACTCATTACCTTGAAACTCGAAGTGACGAATAAGTTGTCCCTTCGAGCTCTAGTCGATTGTGGGGCGTCCAACAATTTTGTGCGACGCCAATCGCTAGAAGATGGTCACTTTAAATTCAGTGAATGTGACACACCTCCTACGAGGATGACGGTACGTCTTGCGACAGGCGCATCCGTAACCGTCATGAAGCGTATAGTGAAGATTCACTATACGCTAGAAGATACCCAATACGACGATGACTTTATCGTATTGGATTTGGATGACAAATTTGATGTCATCCTTGGAATACCGTGGCTCAGAAGGTACGAACCACGGGTAAACTGGCAACATCGGACAGTAACGATGCCTGCCGCTTGTTCATCAGATGGCCATCTGATGAACGTTTTGGAGCGTCCACAAGCGTGTGGATGTACTACGAGTGAGTGCGATGGCCTCACTTGTGGTACGGTCGTTAGTACGACTGCACAAAACCTTAGTGTACCAAACGGTTACACTTCGGAGCAAAGTTCCGGCGGCTGTGAGGAAACACAGGCTGCGCCGAAGGTCCACCACTCGAATAAGTCGGGTGGACTGGGACAAAGATGTATCCCTAGAGGGGAACATCTAGAAGAGAAACAATCGATCGCTCAGGTTAAGCGAAACGATAATCCTAGATCGACTGGAGAGTCTTTCGTAGAGGATCTCGCTGTGGTTGCGCAACCCCAGCTAGAGGAAGTAAAGGGAATAAGTCCCAAGATTACAAATACGGCGGAAATAAGTTCCCCGAAACCCGCGGGAATAAGTCCCCGGGAAGACGAAGGAATAAGTCCTTCGAAGCCTGAGGGAATAAGTCCCCAGGAAATGACAGAGACATTGAATGTCATAGTCAATAACGGATCATGTGTAGGCGCTTATACACTTGATCTGATTGCGCCTCCGAAGTTAACTTCGGAGATTACTCAGTTGCCAACGCTCGAACATAAAAGGTTCTTGCGTGATCTGCGTAGTGGCAAAGTCAAGCAGATCTGCATACTCGTCGCTGAAGACGAGTATGTAACCGACATAAGGTCAGCAACAGTGTTTACTGAGAACGAGAGAGTTCTCAGTAGTTCATCTATGGACGAGAGTGTCCTAGATGAAAAGACACGAATTGAGCGATATGAGTCCCAATCATGGGAATCGCTCAAGGAAAATCCTCTCTATGAAGATTTGGTTGAATTCAAGGATGTATTCCCTGAAACTGTTCCGTGCGAATTACCGAAGGATAAAGGTATTCGACACGAAGTCGAGCTTAAACCAGGCTCGAAGTACTGTGTCATGAAGCAGTGGCCACTGCCTCGTGAACAAGTACTTGCGATCGACAAGTTCTTTGCCGATCGTTTAGCAGCGGGCCATGTGAGGGAATCAACTTCCCCACATAGCTCTCCGACCTTCTGTGTGCGAAAAGCAACAGGAGGGTGGCGGATAGTGCACGCGTTTAACAAATTGAACGCTGCAACGGTACCGGCTCAGACGCCGATACCGAGGAAGGACGTAATCATTGATGGTATGTCAAAGAGTACCATCTTTTCGTCCATGGATTTGATGGATGGCTTCTATCAAATCCTTATGCGAGAACGGGACATCCCCTACACAGCAGTTAGCACGCCTAGCGGCATGCTCTGGGAATGGCTAGTAATGCCACAAGGGCTCAGTAATGCCCCTGCCACGTTCAACAGGTGTGTATCACATCTGTTGAGGCCAGTACGAGAATTCGCGCCGAGTTATTTCGATGAAGTATTCATCCATAGTCGAGCTATGGATGGAAAGTCGGACGTTAAGGTTCACAAGTACCACGTCCGACAAGTTCTTACAATCATGCGAAAGCATCAATTGTATGCAAACCTCAAGAAGTGTATATTTGCAGCAAGCGAAATACCACTTCTTGGGTGCATCGTTGGTAAGAACGGTGTACGTCCTGATCCCGAAAAGATCAAGGCGATCACCGACTGGCCCGTGCCGGTCGATGTCAAAGGTCTTCGAAAATTCCTTGGGCTAGCGGCGTATTTGCATAAGTATTCACGCAATTACGCCGAGATGACTGTACACCTCTCTCGTTTGTTGAAAAAGAACGAGAGGTGGTTATGGAACGCTGAATGTCAACGCTCCTTTGAGGGTATCAAGCAGAGCTTGATACAATCCCCAGTCCTAGCAATAGCCGATCAGGACAGGCCATTTCATGTGGTCTGTGATGCCAGCGATTTCGCAATCGGCTGTGCATTAATGCAGTACGACCTTGAAGGCGTTGAACGCGTCGTCTGCTATCAGTCGCGTCAGCTGCAACCAGCTGAGCGGAACTATCCAGTGCATGACAAGGAACTCCTTGCCATGAAGTATGCACTCGCGAAGTTCAGAGTCTATCTATTAGGAGATAGACCCTTCGTTGTTTACACTGACCATGCGTCCTTACGCACGGCAGTGAACAGCCCGCACCTTTCACAACGAATGGCGCGGTGGTTGTCATTCTTTGCAGAATACAACTTTACGGTCGAGTACAAACCAGGACGACTTAATGTCGTCGCTGATGCACTCTCACGTCGTCCCGACTTTGAAACAGTCGCGAAACCCAACAGTGAGACAGTCACTGTTGCGGTTATGACGTCCTCAGTTCCATCTACAACGTTGTATGATGATGTGAGGCGGGCATACGCCCAAGATGGTGAGATAGTGAAGTTGTTGTCACATCTCTCCCAACCATCTCGAGAATCGTTGAAACGATTGTCGTCTGCGTATCGATCTGCATCAGATCGATACACTACTCGTAACGGTTTACTGTATTATACAGCCGTTTCTGGTGACACACCACGTGTTGTCATTCCAGATGATACTGATCTGCGTTTGCGGATCATGTTCGAGTATCACGATGCTCCTATAGGAGGACATCGTGGCCGAGAGAAAACATATCTCACGGTAAGTCGAGACTTTTACTGGCCCCGCCAGTATCAGTTTGTGCGAAAGTATGTTCGCGCATGCGAAGTCTGCCAACGAGTGAAGTCAAGTCCTTCACTGCGTGCACCTTTACAGCCTCTACCGGTTCCGGCTGAGTGCTGGGAATCCATCTCAATGGATTTCGTCTTCGGGTTACCCAAAGACGCACGCGGGAATACGGGTATTCTCGTATTTGTTGACAGATTCAGCAAAATGGTACACCTTGTGGCTGTACCAGAGACAATCACGGCAAGTGGCTGTGCTTGTGTCTTTATTGACACCATCTTCCGACTTCATGGGTTGCCCCGTGAACTCGTATCAGACAGAGATCCACGATTCACTGCTGATTTCTGGCGTTCCGTGTTCAAATCACTCGGAACGCGCTTGAAGATGTCAACATCTGATCATCCAGAGTCAGATGGTCAGACGGAACGTGCCAATCGTGTCCTTGAAGAGATACTTCGAGGATACGTACACTCCTTTAAGAGTTGGAGTGAGTTTTTGCCGATGGTAGAGTTTGCCATCAACAACTCGGTGCATGCGTCCACGACACATACACCGTTTTACGTGAATGGCTTGCGCCATCCGCGTGTACCCACCTTACTAGAGTGTAACTCTGGTTTAAGGGGGAGGGACTCGCGCGAGCAAAAACCGATTTGGTTCACGCTCATCACGCTCTGACGAAGAAGTCATTGCGTTTGATGCCGATATCGATAACATCGATATCGAAGAAGATGATGCCAGTGAGAGTGCGGAAGCCCTCACTGAAGACAATGATCCCAGTGAGAGTGCGGAAGCCCTCACTGAAGAAAAGGTTGTTGTCGCTGCAGTGCGCTCACAGCACACTGAAGCTAACGAGTCATCAGATGAGTTCATACTGGCTCGTGAAACGGTAGTCCGTTTTGTGCAAGACTCCATCGCCGAAGCGGTGGATAAGCAAAAGCAAAACGCTGACAAGAATGGAAGGGCAAACACTCTTTTATTTAGTAAAGGTGACTTAGTCCTACTGTCTACGGTTAATCTACCAAAGCATGTAGTGACTAACTTGGGTAGCAGTAAACTACTACCCAAGTACATTGGCCATTTCGTGTATTGCACCGCCTAGGCAATGCATACACGATCGAGTTACCACGTAAGATGCGAACGCATCCCACGTTTTACGTTGGTCGGCTTAAGCCGTACCATCAGTACGCTGCTTCTTCCGATGAAGAACGCCCTTGCGCTCAAGCATCTCGCAGAGAGCCTTGTGCTCCCGATGGTGGGCATCAACAAGGGTCTGAAGAGCAGTTATCTCAGCCCGAGACCGATCAACAATCCCACGAGCTACCCTTAGCTCGCCACGAAGAGATGTCAGAGATCTCTCGTTCTCAAGCTGAGCAAAGGCAAACTCAGCTCGATGCTTCGAGGCAGTGTCCGCCATTTGGAGACGCCTATTCCGCTCATGCTCGAGATCGCCGCGTAACCCTTGCGTTACGCGATCAAAGAAGCTCTCGGGAACACACCGATCCACATGATCGTGTGGAGAGCGTCTTTCCTCCTCCTCTACCTCCATTAGAGGACTCTCGCGGTGGCCAGCGCTATCTAGTAGAGCAGCTGTTGAACCACCGCGACGTGAACGGACGTCGGACGAGTTACCTCGTCCGGTGGCGCGGCTATCCCCCGTCCTGGGATTCTTGGGAGCCCCGCTCCCAATTGATGGTTGACGTACTGGGTCTGGTCGAGCAGTACGACGCGACACATCCTGTGCCGCAGAAGGACCGCCGGAGAAAGTCTTCCCGGCACGGTCGTAAAGGGATTTCAGGTTGTCAATCCCTTCGTACATCTCAGTAGAGACACGTACGCGCCACCACGGGCTGGTAAGGAGGTAAGCCTCCTTAGGTGCTCGTGCAGAGTTGTTCACACAACATGGGCACGAGTCTCCCCAAGAGAGGCAGGGTAATCCTTTCTCCCTTGACAGACGATGCAGCTTGTAGCGTGCACCTGTCGGGGTTCGCTTTTCAAACTTATCACGAGCTTTGATAAGTTTGTCGTTCCAAGCGTCACGACCTACATCCTCGAGATTATGGATGTAGGCGTTCCACGCCTGAAGTAGTGAGGGACCATCACGTTTGTGATTCCCACTGTACCATCGATGTCTGAAGAAAGCATCGATGAAGAACTCATGTTCAGCGCGATAGTCTTTCGCGCTGGGGTCAAGGTGATGAATCCTTGACGAATCGAACAATCGTGTTCGATAACGATCACTCGTCGTCGCCGACAAGTGATCCATGACGGATTTAGGAGGCATCCATGCCTTCTTTTCTGGAGCGAGACGCAACACATTGCGGTCCCGCTCTTCCTGCGACGTGCCGACAGAAGTACTGGCACCTCGCTGCGAAGTGGTGTCCATTGGAGAACCGACACCACTATTAGCGCCCGAGTCTCGCGACCTCGAGCGCCTTCGCTTCGGCGATGGTTCATCTGATTCGTCAGATGAACCAAAGATGCTGCGACGCAAAGCATCGTCCATGCCACGCTTGGCAGGCGGCTTGGATTCAATTGCCGTCGATACGGATCCGTCATCCGTATCAGGAGAGTACGAGACACCGAGCTCGTACTCTGTGAAGACACGAGTGTCTTCATGACCAGCGCCTGCATCACCAGGTGATACAGGCTGAGTCGATTCAGCAACCGATGGGACATCAGTTGCTGTAGTTTCTGCTTCGGCGTCCGCACAGAGACGTGCAGACGCGCTCTCGGCGGCCTTGCTCGCGCATCGCATGGGCTTGTTTACCATGCGATGAGATGTTGGAAAGTGGACGCGGACCAACAAGTGCAAACCCCGTCCCAAATGATTTGGGACGAGTATCCATTTAGTCAATCAGTCACTAAAGTGACTGATGGTTAAGGGGGGTGATGTAACGGGGTGAATCGTTACATAACAATTTATAAGAAATTGTTAATAGAATATAACTATAAGAGTTATATTCTCAGAATATTGTCATAAGGACAATATTCTGTAGCACTTCCAAGTAGTCCCTAATTGGTTGATATAGGCCATTATATCAACCAACGAAGACGCGCCACGACAGACGCACGCAATGAGTGGTGAGCAGATAACTGATTTACACATTTGTATTTAGACATAGTTAGATGAAGATAAATAGTGATTTATTGCAGACATTAACTATTATAAATACGGTTCTACTTTTTACTCTAACCAAGTACTCGCTTCTTCTTACCGTCTTCCTCTGCACGTACGAGTGTACGTGAAGTTACGAGGCACCGCCTTATTCTGTTATCAGAATAAGTAGCTTGTACTGTCACCAGTACAAGCTTCAGGGTGCCCCGTTACACTTTTGCTTTAACCAAGTACTCGCTTCTTCTTACCGTCTTCCTCAGCACGTACGAGTATACGTGAAGTTCCGAGGCACCGCCTTATTCTGTCGTCAGAACAAGTAGCTTGTACTGTCATCAGTACAAGCTTCAGGGTGCCCCGTTACAATGTGACTATCTCTTTTTTTATGATTTTCGAGGGCACCACCATCGTAAGCCTTTTTCTATTTGAAGGTTGATTGCGCTGTAAAGTAGAGGCACTGCATTGAAAGATTAGGATTTTATCTTTTTTTTCTAGGGTGTCCGCGTAGTAAGTTGGGGGTGGTCTACCTTGTCAGTCCCTTCTTTTGTTTTCTCAATATCTAGTATGTTTTATTTCCGAAATTGAACGGGCCATTTTTGTTATCTGCCCTCATACCTTTTATTTTGCGATAATCTAGAGCATTTTTCGCTCGATTGAGCAATGCTTTTTTGGTTTTCATTTCTACTTTTGTGTTTAAATGGGACTTTTTCATTTTTTTTTGAAAACACTAGTATCGAAAAGTGTGAGAAAGAAAAAATCGAGTCACGCAAGGATAGAATCCGTGACACTGTTTGCGGTGATCACAGTACCTAACAGGTGAGATTTCACTTAGAATAAAAATAAAATGAACTCGCACAAAGTTAATATTGATCAAAATGCTCATTTATTTAAAAAAATAATTACGTCCAGTCATTCCCTCAATCCATTGCGCCATACGGGGTTTCACGTACGCAACTCGTTCGGCCTTACGCGCCTTTCACCATGCGCATGCTTCGCATTTGGCCAACGGCTTTTTGCACCTGGCTCTCGGTCTTGAATAGAGATGATAACCAAGCATATGCTACTGCTGCGAACACCGCTCAAACACGCCTTGACGAAGCCACGCCCGACTACAAAAAGTTTGCATCCACGCGACCCGTCATCACTCAACACGGTCAAGCAAGTCTTGAAGTCGGGTTTTTATGCGGGGAACAAGACCGTCCCCGATATCACCGTGAACGATGATCGGATGGGCACTGATCTGAAAGAGTTGGTGGAACTTTTGGTGTGCAACGTCATGGCAGCCGCTAGGAAAATTGGGATCCGTCTGCCTAAACAATTCCGCTTTGCCCGTAACGTGAGACCTGTGGAAAATCCAGTTGTTGGTATTCCTATCCGTGAGAATGAGAAAACTGCGGATCTTGAGACTGCGAATCATGAGACTGCGTTCAGTGAGACTGCGATTATGGAGACTGCGACCCAACCCTTTCATCAAATTTCGGATCCTCGAATGTACCACGGAGATCTCGAGGGTGACAAGCGGAACTTTGAACGTACCGAGGCATTTTGGAAACACGACAAAGATAATGAAGTCATCGACGCGCCGAAACTAGGGAAGTTGTTGGAGGCTAATAAGAAAGCATCGGGATCGAAGCACGTTGAACCGGACGAAGTCATAATTACCATGTTGCTCTCTAGAAGTCCACTGGATGTAGTGACGCTACTAAAATCGCTTCGTGAGATTAAGGGCATGGAAGGTGAGGCCGACGCGTTGCACAGGCGACTACTTGTGATCCTTAAAGATTATCCAGGCGTGGTGTCTTACGCGTGGATGGAGTCGGAATATCTTCCCGAAGAGCTTTTTAAGATCGTCCGGTTGGATGGAACGATAGACTACGATGAAACATCAACCTTTCTATCAGAGTGGCTATGGTACATTGGCAAGTACAGCGAAACACACTTACCTTCATTTCGCGTAGAACACGCAGTAAAACTTCTATTTCAAAGCAAAGGCGATGAATACGTGAACGCTTTTTTCGATGGAATCAAAAAAATACCTGGACGTGAGAAACTTGCCGATGAGCTGCTTGAACTTTACGTGTAACGGGGCATTCTGAAGCTTGTACTGGTGACAGTACAAGCTACTTATTCTGATAACAGAATAAGGCGGTGCCTCGTAACTTCACGTACACTCGTACGTGCAGAGGAAGACGGTAAGAAGAAGCGAGTACTCGGTTAGAGTAAAAAGTAGAACTGTATTTATAATAGTTAATGTCTGCAATAAATCACTATTTATCTTCATCTAACTATGTCTAAATACAAATGTGTAAATCAGTTATCTGCTCACCACTCATTGCGTGCGTCTGTCGTGGCGCGTCTTCGTTGGTTGATATAATGGCCTATATCAACCAATTAGGAACTACTTGGAAGTGCTACAGGATATTGTCCTTATGACAATATTCTGAGAATATAACTCTTATAGTTATATTCTATTAACAATTTCTTATAAATTGTTATGTAACGATTCACCCCGTTACATCACCCCCCCCTTAACCATCAGTCACCTTAGTGACTGATTGACTAAATGGATACTCGTCCCAAATCATTTGGGACGGGGTTTGCACTTGTTGGTCCGCGTCCACTTTCCAACATCTCATCGCATGGTAAACAAGCCCATGCGATGCGCGAGCAAGGCCGCCGAGAGCGCGTCTGCACGTCTCTGTGCGGACGCCGAAGCAGAAACTACAGCAACTGATATCCCATCGGTTGCTGAATCGACTCAGCCTGTATCACCTGGTGATGCAAGCGCTGGTCATGAAGACACTCGTGTCTTCACAGAGTACGAGCTCGGTGTCTCGTACTCTCCTGATACGGATGACGGATCCGTATCGACGGCAATTGAATCCAAGCCGCCTGCCAAGCGTGGCATGGACGATGCTTTGCGTCGCAGCATCTTTGGTTCATCTGATGAGTCAGATGAACCATCGCCGAAGCGAAGGCGCTCGAGGTCGCGAGACTCGGGCGCTAATAGTGGTGTCGGTTCTCCAATGGACACCACTTCACAGCGAGGTGCCAGTACTTCTGTCGGCACGTCGCAGCAAGAGCGGGACCGCAATGTGTTGCGTCTCGCTCCAGAAAAGAAGGCATGGATGCCTCCAAAATTCGTCATGGATCACTTGTCGGCGACGACGAGTGATCGTTATCGAACACGATTGTTCGATTCGTCAAGGATCCATCACCTTGACCCCAGCGCGAAAGACTATCGCGCTGAACATGAGTTCTTCATCGATGCTTTCTTCAGACATCGATGGTACAGTGGGAATCACAAACGTGATGGTCCCTCACTACTTCAGGCGTGGAACGCCTACATCCATAATCTCGAGGATGTAGGTCGTGACGCTTGGAACGACAAACTTATCAAAGCTCGTGTAAGTTTGAAAAGCGAACCCCGACAGGTGCACGCTATAAGCTGCATCGTCTGTCAAGGGAGAAAGGATTACCCTGCCTCTCTTGGGGAGACTCGTGCCCATGTTGTGTGAACAACTCTGCACGAGCACCTAAGGAGGCTTACCTCCTTACCAGCCCGTGGTGGCGCGTACGTGTCTCTACTGAGATGTACGAAGGGATTGACAACCTGAAATCCCTTTACGACCGTGCCGGGAAGACTTTCTCCGGCGGTCCTTCTGCGGCACAGGATGTGTCGCGTCGTACTGCTCGACCAGACCCAGTACGTCAACCATCAATTGGGAGCGGGGCTCCCAAGAATCCCAGGACGGGGGATAGCCGCGCCACCGGACGAGGTAACTCGTCCGACGTCCGTTCACGTCGCGGTGGTTCAACAGCTGCTCAACTAGATAGCGCTGGCCACCGCGAGAGTCCTCTAATGGAGGTGGAGGAGGAGGAAAGACGCTCTCCACACGATCATGTGGATCGGTGTGTTCCCGAGAGCATCTTTGATCGCGTAACGCAAGGGTTACGCGACGATCTCGAGCATGAGCGGAATAGGCGTCTCCAGATGTTGGACACTGCCTCGAAGCATCGAGCTGAGTTTGCCTTTGCTCAGCTTGAGAACGAGAGATCTCTGACATCTCTTCGTGACGAGCTAAGGGTAGCTCGTGGGATTGTTGATCGGTCTCGGGCTGAGATAACTGCTCTTCAGACCCTTGTTGATGCCCACCATCGGGAGCACAAGGCTCTCTGCGAGATGCTTGAGCGCAAGGGCGTTCTTCATCGGAAGAAGCAGCGTACTGATGGTACGGCTTAAGCCGACCAACGTAAAACGTGGGATGCGTTCGCATCTTACGTGGTAACTCGATCGTGTATGCATTGCCTAGGCGGTGCAATACACGAAATGGGCCAATGTACTTGGGTAGTAGTTTACTGCTACCCAAGTTAGTCACTACATGTTTTGGTAGATTAACCGTAGACAGTAGGACTAAGTCACCTTTATTAAATAAAAGAGTGTTTGCCCTTCCATTCTTGTCAGCGTTTTGCTTTTTGCTTATCCACCGCTTCGGCGATGGAGTCTTGCACAAAACGGACTACCGTTTCACGAGCCAGTATGAACTTATCTGATGACTCGTTAGCTTCAGTGTGCTGTGAGCGCACTGCAGCGACAACAACCTTTTCTTCAGTGAGGGCTTCCGCACTCTCACTGGGATCATTGTCTTCAGTGAGGGCTTCCGCACTCTCACTGGCATCATCTTCTTCGATATCGATGTTATCGATATCGGCATCAAACGCAATGACTTCTTCGTCAGAGCGTGATGAGCGTGAACCAAATCGGTTTTTGCTCGCGCGAGTCCCTCCCCCTTAAACCAGAGTTACACTCTAGTAAGGTGGGTACACGCGGATGGCGCAAGCCATTCACGTAAAACGGTGTATGTGTCGTGGACGCATGCACCGAGTTGTTGATGGCAAACTCTACCATTGGCAAAAACTCACTCCAACTTTTAAAGGAGTGTACGTATCCTCGAAGTATCTCTTCGAGGACACGGTTGGCACGTTCCGTCTGACCATCTGACTCTGGATGATCAGATGTTGACATCTTCAAGCGCGTTCCGAGTGATTTGAACACGGAACGCCAGAAATCAGCAGTGAATCGTGGATCTCTGTCTGATACGAGTTCACGGGGCAACCCATGAAGTCGGAAGATGGTGTCAATAAAGACACAAGCACAGCCACTTGCCGTGATTGTCTCTGGTACAGCCACAAGGTGTACCATTTTGCTGAATCTGTCAACAAATACGAGAATACCCGTATTCCCGCGTGCGTCTTTGGGTAACCCGAAGACGAAATCCATTGAGATGGATTCCCAGCACTCAGCCGGAACCGGTAGAGGCTGTAAAGGTGCACGCAGTGAAGGACTTGACTTCACTCGTTGGCAGACTTCGCATGCGCGAACATACTTTCGCACAAACTGATACTGGCGGGGCCAGTAAAAGTCTCGACTTACCGTGAGATATGTTTTCTCTCGGCCACGATGTCCTCCTATAGGAGCATCGTGATACTCGAACATGATCCGCAAACGCAGATCAGTATCATCTGGAATGACAACACGTGGTGTGTCACCAGAAACGGCTGTATAGTACAGTAAACCGTTACGAGTAGTGTATCGATCTGATGCAGATCGATACGCAGACGACAATCGTTTCAACGATTCTCGAGATGGTTGGGAGAGATGTGACAACAACTTCACTATCTCACCATCTTGGGCGTATGCCCGCCTCACATCATCATACAACGTTGTAGATGGAACTGAGGACGTCATAACCGCAACAGTGACTGTCTCACTGTTGGGTTTCGCGACTGTTTCAAAGTCGGGACGACGTGAGAGTGCATCAGCGACGACATTAAGTCGTCCTGGTTTGTACTCGACCGTAAAGTTGTATTCTGCAAAGAATGACAACCACCGCGCCATTCGTTGTGAAAGGTGCGGGCTGTTCACTGCCGTGCGTAAGGACGCATGGTCAGTGTAAACAACGAAGGGTCTATCTCCTAATAGATAGACTCTGAACTTCGCGAGTGCATACTTCATGGCAAGGAGTTCCTTGTCATGCACTGGATAGTTCCGCTCAGCTGGTTGCAGCTGACGCGACTGATAGCAGACGACGCGTTCAACGCCTTCAAGGTCGTACTGCATTAATGCACAGCCGATTGCGAAATCGCTGGCATCACAGACCACATGAAATGGCCTGTCCTGATCGGCTATTGCTAGGACTGGGGATTGTATCAAGCTCTGCTTGATACCCTCAAAGGAGCGTTGACATTCAGCGTTCCATAACCACCTCTCGTTCTTTTTCAACAAACGAGAGAGGTGTACAGTCATCTCGGCGTAATTGCGTGAATACTTATGCAAATACGCCGCTAGCCCAAGGAATTTTCGAAGACCTTTGACATCGACCGGCACGGGCCAGTCGGTGATCGCCTTGATCTTTTCGGGATCAGGACGTACACCGTTCTTACCAACGATGCACCCAAGAAGTGGTATTTCGCTTGCTGCAAATATACACTTCTTGAGGTTTGCATACAATCGATGCTTTCGCATGATTGTAAGAACTTGTCGGACGTGGTACTTGTGAACCTCAACGTCCGACTTTCCATCCATAGCTCGACTATGGATGAATACGTCATCGAAATAACTCGGCGCGAACTCTCGTACTGGTCTCAACAGATGTGATACACATCTGTTGAACGTGGCAGGGGCATTACTGAGCCCTTGTGGCATTACTAGCCATTCCCAGAGCATGCCTGTAACGGGGTGAATCGTTACATAACAATTTATAAGAAATTGTTAATAGAATATAACTATAAGAGATATATTCTCAGAATATTGTCATAAGGACAATATTCTGTAGCACTTCCAAGTAGTTCCTAATTGGTTGATATAGGCCATTATATCAACCAACGAAGACGCGCCACGACAGACGCACGCAATGAGTGGTGAGCAGATAACTGATTTACACATTTGTATTTAGACATAGTTAGATGAAGATAAATAGTGATTTATTGCAGACATTAACTATTATAAATACGGTTCTACTTTTTACTCTAACCGAGTACTCGCTTCTTCTTACCGTCTTCCTCTGCACGTACGAGTGTACGTGAAGTTACGAGGCACCGCCTTATTCTGTTATCAGAATAAGTAGCTTGTACTGTCACCAGTACAAGCTTCAGGGTGCCCCGTTACACCTGGTAGCACTTCGTAGTCCTTCCAAGGACCGCGTTCACATCCAACATGAATATGTTGGATGATGAAGATGACCAAAGCTTTCACGCTACGCGTGACGGCTACTCCCATTTGAGCGATGTCGAATGGGATGCGGTTGAACGAATGGGTTCGACCATGGGCATCCATGCTGTTAGCGTCATGCTAGAGGCTCTCAATAGAGATGCCCAACATGCTACTATCGCCAAGTTCATTCAAAATGAACTTGACGCAGAACGCGAGAAAGTAGCCTTGCTTCACCAACAAGGTTCTCAACAAGCAGAGTTGTTGAGAGAACAAGGTGCTCAACAGTTTGAACTGTTGAGACAGCAGCAGGCTGCTGCTGGCGGGTCGATGCACTCGCGTCGGCCCGAGACTTTGAAGATTGACATCTCAAAGTATAGGGGGGTCGAAGAAGACTCCCTCTTGAGATGGTTCGTCGAATTGGATGACGCCATAAGGGCGCGTCGCATCGACGACGGGGATATGCAAGTTGCATTTGCCCAGTCAAATCTGGCAGGACGTGCCAAGACTTGGGCACTGGGGCTCAAGCTGCACGACCCATACGCGTTTGGGTCGTTGGAAGTCTTCAAGTCGCGGCTCAGACAAACGTTTGAACCGCCTAGAGCTGAGTTCAGAGCTCGAACCGAACTCTTGAAGCTCAAGCAGGGTAAGCGTGATGTGCACGCTTACGCTCAACATATACGACATCTCACGAGTTGTATAAGTTCCAATCCGGTGGATGAACACACGTTGGTTTCGGTGTTCATGCAGGGTCTTGCGGATGGTCCCGTCAAGACTCACCTGTTCCGGCTTGAACTAGATTCACTAGAACAAGCCATTTCCATTGCGGAGCAGGAAGACTTCAGTCTGAGACAGGCTCGCGCCAGCTCGACATCATATCGTCAACCGAGACGATATGACAACGGAGGTCCAGAGCCGATGAAACTCTGTTATGTAGAGAGCGAGAAGGCTCGCTCTACAGGCTACAAGAAGTTGCAGAGATGCAACAGATGTCAAAAGACAGGACACTACGCTTACGAGTGTAGTGCCCCTCGTCCAGTGTCTCGCGACACTGGGCGTAGTGACCGTCCACCCATGAGAAAGGGGCAGGGACGAGGGTCCGCAGTTGGTGCAAAGACGCAACAACGGGATGGACCGTCAAAAAACGGACAGGATCAGTAGGTGCGGAGCACCCTACTGATCCAGCAACGTCAAGAGAATTTGTAGGCCTCTTGATGAAGGTTGCTCCCAACACACAGACATTGTGCGTTGCTGCTCTAGGTAATGAGATCTCACTCATTACCTTGAAACTCGAAGTGACGAATAAGTTGTCCCTTCGAGCTCTAGTCGATTGTGGGGCGTCCAACAATTTTGTGCGACGCCAATCGCTAGAAGATGGTCACTTTAAATTCAGTGAATGTGACACACCTCCTACGAGGATGACGGTACGTCTTGCGACAGGCGCATCCGTAACCGTCATGAAGCGTATAGTGAAGATTCACTATACGCTAGAAGATACCCAATACGACGATGACTTTATCGTATTGGATTTGGATGACAAATTTGATGTCATCCTTGGAATACCGTGGCTCAGAAGGTACGAACCACGGGTAAACTGGCAACATCGGACAGTAACGATGCCTGCCGCTTGTTCATCAGATGGCCATCTGATGAACGTTTTGGAGCGTCCACAAGCGTGTGGATGTACTACGAGTGAGTGCGATGGCCTCACTTGTGGTACGGTCGTTAGTACGACTGCACAAAACCTTAGTGTACCAAACGGTTACACTTCGGAGCAAAGTTCCGGCGGCTGTGAGGAAACACAGGCTGCGCCGAAGGTCCACCACTCGAATAAGTCGGGTGGACTGGGACAAAGATGTATCCCTAGAGGGGAACATCTAGAAGAGAAACAATCGATCGCTCAGGTTAAGCGAAACGATAATCCTAGATCGACTGGAGAGTCTTTCGTAGAGGATCTCGCTGTGGTTGCGCAACCCCAGCTAGAGGAAGTAAAGGGAATAAGTCCCGATTTTACAAATACGGCGGAAATAAGTTCCCCGAAACCCGCGGGAATAAGTCCCCGGGAAGACGAAGGAATAAGTCCTTCGAAGCCTGAGGGAATAAGTCCCCAGGAAATGACAGAGACATTGAATGTCATAGTCAATAACGGATCAAGTGTAGGCGCTTATACACTTGATCTGATTGCGCCTCCGAAGTTAACTTCGGAGATCACTCAGTTGCCAACGCTCGAACATAAAAGGTTCTTGCGTGATCTGCGTAGTGGCAAAGTCAAGCAGATCTGCATACTCGTCGCTGACGACGAGTATGTAACCGACATAAGGTCAGCAACAGTGTTTACTGAGAACGAGAGAGTTCTCAGTAGTTCATCTATGGACGAGAGTGTCCTAGATGAAAAGACACGAATTGAGCGATATGAGTCCCAATCATGGGAATCGCTCAAGGAAAATCCTCTCTATGAAGATTTGGTTGAATTCAAGGATGTATTCCCTGAAACTGTTCCGTGCGAATTACCGAAGGATAAAGGTATTCGACACGAAGTCGAGCTTAAACCAGGCTCGAAGTACTGTGTCATGAAGCAGTGGCCACTGCCTCGTGAACAAGTACTTGCGATCGACAAGTTCTTTGCCGATCGTTTAGCAGCGGGCCATGTGAGGGAATCAACTTCCCCACATAGCTCTCCGACCTTCTGTGTGCGAAAAGCAACAGGAGGGTGGCGGATAGTGCACGCGTTTAACAAATTGAACGCTGCAACGGTACCGGCTCAGACGCCGATACCGAGGAAGGACGTAATCATTGATGGTATGTCAAAGAGTACCATCTTTTCGTCCATGGATTTGATGGATGGCTTCTATCAAATCCTAATGCGGGAACGGGATATACCCTATACCGCAGTTAGCACGCCTAGCGGCATGCTCTGGGAATGGCTAGTAATGCCACAAGGGCTCAGTAATGCCCCTGCCACGTTCAACAGGTGTGTATCACATCTGTTGAGGCCAGTACGAGAATTCGCGCCGAGTTATTTCGATGACGTATTCATCCATAGTCGAGCTATGGATGGAAAGTCGGGCGTTGAGGTTCACAAGTACCACGTCCGACAAGTTCTTACAATCATGCGAAAGCATCAATTGTATGCAAACCTCAAGAAGTGTATATTTGCAGCAAGCGAAATACCACTTCTTGGGTGCATCGTTGGTAAGAACGGTGTACGTCCTGATCCCGAAAAGATCAAGGCGATCACCGACTGGCCCGTGCCGGTCGATGTCAAAGGTCTTCGAAAATTCCTTGGGCTAGCGGCGTATTTGCATAAGTATTCACGCAATTACGCCGAGATGACTGTACACCTCTCTCGTTTGTTGAAAAAGAACGAGAGGTGGTTATGGAACGCTGAATGTCAACGCTCCTTTGAGGGTATCAAGCAGAGCTTGATACAATCCCCAGTCCTAGCAATAGCCGATCAGGACAGGCCATTTCATGTGGTCTGTGATGCCAGCGATTTCGCAATCGGCTGTGCATTAATGCAGTACGACCTTGAAGGCGTTGAACGCGTCGTCTGCTATCAGTCGCGTCAGCTGCAACCAGCTGAGCGGAACTATCCAGTGCATGACAAGGAACTCCTTGCCATGAAGTATGCACTCGCGAAGTTCAGAGTCTATCTATTAGGAGATAGACCCTTCGTTGTTTACACTGACCATGCGTCCTTACGCACGGCAGTGAACAGCCCGCACCTTTCACAACGAATGGCGCGGTGGTTGTCATTCTTTGCAGAATACAACTTTACGGTCGAGTACAAACCAGGACGACTTAATGTCGTCGCTGATGCACTCTCACGTCGTCCCGACTTTGAAACAGTCGCGAAACCCAACAGTGAGACAGTCACTGTTGCGGTTATGACGTCCTCAGTTCCATCTACAACGTTGTATGATGATGTGAGGCGGGCATACGCCCAAGATGGTGAGATAGTGAAGTTGTTGTCACATCTCTCCCAACCATCTCGAGAATCGTTGAAACGATTGTCGTCTGCGTATCGATCTGCATCAGATCGATACACTACTCGTAACGGTTTACTGTACTATACAGCCGTTTCTGGTGACACACCACGTGTTGTCATTCCAGATGATACTGATCTGCGTTTGCGGATCATGTTCGAGTATCACGATGCTCCTATAGGAGGACATCGTGGCCGAGAGAAAACATATCTCACGGTAAGTCGAGACTTTTACTGGCCCCGCCAGTATCAGTTTGTGCGAAAGTATGTTCGCGCATGCGAAGTCTGCCAACGAGTGAAGTCAAGTCCTTCACTGCGTGCACCTTTACAGCCTCTACCGGTTCCGGCTGAGTGCTGGGAATCCATCTCAATGGATTTCGTCTTCGGGTTACCCAAAGACGCACGCGGGAATACGGGTATTCTCGTATTTGTTGACAGATTCAGCAAAATGGTACACCTTGTGGCTGTACCAGAGACAATCACGGCAAGTGGCTGTGCTTGTGTCTTTATTGACACCATCTTCCGACTTCATGGGTTGCCCCGTGAACTCGTATCAGACAGAGATCCACGATTCACTGCTGATTTCTGGCGTTCCGTGTTCAAATCACTCGGAACGCGCTTGAAGATGTCAACATCTGATCATCCAGAGTCAGATGGTCAGACGGAACGTGCCAACCGTGTCCTTGAAGAGATACTTCGAGGATACGTACACTCCTTTAAAAGTTGGAGTGAGTTTTTGCCAATGGTAGAGTTTGCCATCAACAACTCGGTGCATGCGTCCACGACACATACACCGTTTTACGTGAATGGCTTGCGCCATCCGCGTGTACCCACCTTACTAGAGTGTAACTCTGGTTTAAGGGGGGAGGGACTCGCGCGAGCAAAAACCGATTTGGTTCACGCTCATCACGCTCTGACGAAGAAGTCATTGCGTTTGATGCCGATATCGATAACATCGATATCGAAGAAGATGATGCCAGTGAGAGTGCGGAAGCCCTCACTGAAGACAATGATCCCAGTGAGAGTGCGGAAGCCCTCACTGAAGAAAAGGTTGTTGTCGCTGCAGTGCGCTCACAGCACACTGAAGCTAACGAGTCATCAGATAAGTTCATACTGGCTCGTGAAACGGTAGTCCGTTTTGTGCAAGACTCCATCGCCGAAGCGGTGGATAAGCAAAAGCAAAACGCTGACAAGAATGGAAGGGCAAACACTCTTTTATTTAATAAAGGTGACTTAGTCCTACTGTCTACGGTTAATCTACCAAAACATGTAGTGACTAACGTGGGTAGCAGTAAACTACTACCCAAGTACATTGGCCCATTTCGTGTATTGCACCGCCTAGGCAATGCATACACGATCGAGTTACCACGTAAGATGCGAACGCATCCCACGTTTTACGTTGGTCGGCTTAAGCCGTACCATCAGTACGCTGCTTCTTCCGATGAAGAACGCCCTTGCGCTCAAGCATCTCGCAGAGAGCCTTGTGCTCCCGATGGTGGGCATCAACAAGGGTCTGAAGAGCAGTTATCTCAGCCCGAGACCGATCAACAATCCCACGAGCTACCCTTAGCTCGTCACGAAGAGATGTCAGAGATCTCTCGTTCTCAAGCTGAGCAAAGGCAAACTCAGCTCGATGCTTCGAGGCAGTGTCCACCATCTGGAGACGCCTATTCCGCTCATGCTCGAGATCGTCGCGTAACCCTTGCGTTACGCGATCAAAGAAGCTCTCGGGAACACACCGATCCACATGATCGTGTGGAGAGCGTCTTTCCTCCTCCTCCACCTCCATTAGAGGACTCTCGCGGTGGCCAGCGCTATCTAGTAGAGCAGCTGTTGAACCACCGCGACGTGAACGGACGTCGGACGAGTTACCTCGTCCGGTGGCGCGGCTATCCCCCGTCCTGGGATTCTTGGGAGCTCCGCTCCCAATTGATGGTTGACGTACTGGGTCTGGTCGAGCAGTACGACGCGACACATCCTGTGCCGCAGAAGGACCGCCGGAGAAAGTCTTCCCGGCACGGTCGTAAAGGGATTTCAGGTTGTCAATCCCTTCGTACATCTCAGTAGAGACACGTACGCGCCACCACGGGCTGGTAAGGAGGTAAGCCTCCTTAGGTGCTCGTGCAGAGTTGTTCACACAACATGGGCACGAGTCTCCCCAAGAGAGGCAGGGTAATCCTTTCTCCCTTGACAGACGATGCAGCGTATAGCGTGCACCTGTCGGGGTTCGCTTTTCAAACTTATCACGAGCTTTGATAAGTTTGTCGTTCCAAGCGTCACGACCTACATCCTCGAGATTATGGATGTAGGCGTTCCACGCCTGAAGTAGTGAGGGACCATCACGTTTGTGATTCCCACTGTACCATCGATGTCTGAAGAAAGCATCGATGAAGAACTTCATGTTCAGCGCGATAGTCTTTCGCGCTGGGGTCAAGGTGATGGATCCTTGACGAATCGAACAATCGTGTTCGATAACGATCACTCGTCGTCGCCGACAAGTGATCCATGACAGATTTAGGAGGCATCCATGCCTTCTTTTCTGGAGCGAGACGCAACACATTGCGGTCCCGCTCTTCCTGCGACGTGCCGACAGAAGTACTGGCACCTCGCTGTGAAGTGGTGTCCATTGGAGAAACGACACCACTATTAGCGCCCGAGTCTCGCGACCTCGAGCGCCTTCGCTTCGGCGATGGTTCATCTGACTCATCAGATGAACCAAAGATGCTGCGACGCAAAGCATCTTCCATGCCACGCTTGGCAGGCGGCTTGGATTCAATTGCCGTCGATACGGATCCGTCATCCGTATCAGGAGAGTACGAGACACCGAGCTCGTACTCTGTGAAGACACGAGTGTCTTCATGACCAGCGCCTGCATCACCAGGTGATACAGGCTGAGTCGATTCAGCAACCGATGGGACATCAGTTGCTGTAGTTTCTGCTTCGGCGTCCGCACAGAGACGTGCAGACGCGCTCTCGGCGGCCTTGCTCGCGCATCGCATGGGCTTGTTTACCATGCGATGAGATGTTGGAAAGTGGACGCGGACCAACAAGTGCAAACCCCGTCCCAAATGATTTGGGACGAGTATCCATTTAGTCAATCAGTCACTAAAGTGACTGATGGTTAAGGGGGGTGATGTAACGGGGTGAATCGTTACATAACAATTTATAAGAAATTGTTAATAGAATATAACTATAAGAGTTATATTCTCAGAATATTGTCATAAGGACAATATTCTGTAGCACTTCCAAGTAGTTCCTAATTGGTTGATATAGGCCATTATATCAACCAACGAAGACGCGCCACGACAGACGCACGCAATGAGTGGTGAGCAGATAACTGATTTACACATTTGTATTTAGACATAGTTAGATGAAGATAAATAGTGATTTATTGCAGACATTAACTATTATAAATACGGTTCTACTTTTTACTCTAACCGAGTACTCGCTTCTTCTTACCGTCTTCCTCTGCACGTACGAGTGTACGTGAAGTTACGAGGCACCGCCTTATTCTGTTATCAGAATAAGTAGCTTGTACTGTCACCAGTACAAGCTTCAGGGTGCCCCGTTACAATGCCGCTAGGCGTGCTAACTGCGGTATAGGGTATATCCCGTTCCCGCATTAGGATTTGATAGAAGCCATCCATCAAATCCATGGACGAAAAGATGGTACTCTTTGACATACCATCAATGATTACGTCCTTCCTCGGTATCGGCGTCTGAGCCGGTACCGTTGCAGCGTTCAATTTGTTAAACGCGTGCACTATCCGCCACCCTCCTGTTGCTTTTCGCACACAGAAGGTCGGAGAGCTATGTGGGGAAGTTGATTCCCTCACATGGCCCGCTGCTAAACGATCGGCAAAGAACTTGTCGATCGCAAGTACTTGTTCACGAGGCAGTGGCCACTGCTTCATGACACAGTACTTCGAGCCTGGTTTAAGCTCGACTTCGTGTCGAATACCTTTATCCTTCGGTAATTCGCACGGAACAGTTTCAGGGAATACATCCTTGAATTCAACCAAATCTTCATAGAGAGGATTTTCCTTGAGCGATTCCCATGATTGGGAGTCATTGTCGCTCAACTCGTGTCTTTTCATCTAGGACACTCTCGTCCATAGATGAACTACTGAGAACTCTCTCGTTCTCAGTAAACACTGTTGCTGACCTTATGTCGGTTACATACTCGTCGTCAGCGACGAGTATGCAGATCTGCTTGACTTTGCCACTACGCAGATCACGCAAGAATCTTTTATGTTCGAGCGTTGGCAACTGAGTGATCTCCGAAGTTAACTTCGGAGGCGCAATCAGATCAAGTGTATAAGCGCCTACACATGATCCGTTATTGACTATGACATTCAATGTCTCTGTCATTTCCTGGGGACTTATTCCCTCAGGCTTCGAAGGACTTATTCCTTCGTCTTCCCGGGGACTTATTCCCGCGGGTTTCGGGGAACTTATTTCCGCCGTATTTGTAATCTTGGGACTTATTTCCTTTACTTCCTCTAGCTGGGGTTGCGCAACCACAGCGAGATCCTCTACGAAAGACTCTCCAGTCGATCTAGGATTATCGTTTCGCTTAACCTGAGCGATCGATTGTTTCTCTTCTAGATGTTCCCCTCTAGGGATACATCTTTGTCCCAGTCCACCCGACTTATTCGAGTGGTGGACCTTCGGCGCAGCCTGTGTTTCCTCACAGCCGCCGGAACTTTGCTCCGAAGTGTAACCGTTTGGTACACTAAGGTTTTGTGCAGTCGTACTAACGACCGTACCACAAGTGAGGCCATCGCACTCACTCGTAGTACATCCACACGCTTGTGGACGCTCCAAAACGTTCATCAGATGGCCATCTGATGAACAAGCGGCAGGCATCGTTACTGTCCGATGTTGCCAGTTTACCCGTGGTTCGTACCTTCTGAGCCACGGTATTCCAAGGATGACATCAAATTTGTCATCCAAATCCAATACGATAAAGTCATCGTCATATTGGGTATCTTCTAGCGTATAGTGAATCTTCACTATACGCTTCATGACGGTTACGGATGCGCCTGTCGCAAGACGTACCGTCATCCTCGTAGGAGGTGTGTCACATTCACTGAATTTAAAGTGACCATCTTCTAGCGATTGGCGTCGCACAAAATTGTTGGACGCCCCACAATCGACTAGAGCTCGAAGGGACAACTTATTCGTCACTTCGAGTTTCAAGGTAATGAGTGAGATCTCATTACCTAGAGCAGCAACGCACAATGTCTGTGTGTTGGGAGCAACCTTCATCAAGAGGCCTACAAATTCTCTTGACGTTGCTGGATCAGTAGGGTGCTCCGCACCTACTGATCCTGTCCGTTTTTTGACGGTCCATCCCGTTGTTGCGTCTTTGCACCAACTGCGGACCCTCGTCCCTGCCCCTTTCTCATGGGTGGACGGTCACTACGCCCAGTGTCGCGAGACACTGGACGAGGGGCACTACACTCGTAAGCGTAGTGTCCTGTCTTCTGACATCTGTTGCATCTCTGCAACTTCTTGTAGCCTGTAGAGCGAACCTTCTCGCTCTCTACATAACAGAGTTCCATCGGCTCTGGACCTCCGTTGTCATATCGTCTCGGTTGACGATATGATGTCGAGCTGGCGCGAGCCTGTCTCAGACTGAAGTCTTCCTGCTCCGCAATGGAAATGGCTTGTTCTAGTGAATCTAGTTCAAGCCGGAACAGGTGAGTCTTGACGGGACCATCCGCAAGACCCTGCATGAACACCGAAACCAACGTGTGTTCATCCACCGGATTGGAACTTATACAACTCGTGAGATGTCGTATATGTTGAGCGTAAGCGTGCACATCACGCTTACCCTGCTTGAGCTTCAAGAGTTCGGTTCGAGCTCTGAACTCAGCTCTAGGCGGTTCAAACGTTTGTCTGAGCCGCGACTTGAAGACTTCCAACGACCCAAACGCGTATGGGTCGTGCAGCTTGAGCCCCAGTGCCCAAGTCTTGGCACGTCCTGCCAGATTTGACTGGGCAAATGCAACTTGCATATCCCCGTCGTCGATGCGACGCGCCCTTATGGCGTCATCCAATTCGACGAACCATCTCAAGAGGGAGTCTTCTTCGACCCCCCTATACTTTGAGATGTCAATCTTCAAAGTCTCGGGCCGACGCGAGTGTATCGACCCGCCAGCAGCAGCCTGCTGCTGTCTCAACAGTTCAAACTGTTGAGCACCTTGTTCTCTCAACAACTCTGCTTGTTGAGAACCTTGTTGGTGAAGCAAGGCTACTTTCTCGCGTTCTGCGTCAAGTTCATTTTGAATGAACTTGGCGATAGTAGCATGTTGGGCATCTCTATTGAGAGCCTCTAGCATGACGCTAACAGCATGGATGCCCATGGTCGAACCCATTCGTTCAACCGCATCCCATTCGACATCGCTCAAATGGGAGTAGCCGTCACGCGTAGCGTGAAAGCTTTGGTCATCTTCATCATCCAACATATTCATGTTGGATGTGAACGCGGTCCTTGGACGGACTACGAAGTGCTACCAGGTGTAACGGGGCACCCTGAAGCTTGTACTGGTGACAGTACAAGCTACTTATTCTGATAACAGAATAAGGCGGTGCCTCGTAACTTCACGTACACTCGTACGTGCAGAGGAAGACGGTAAGAAGAAGCGAGTACTCGGTTAGAGTAAAAGTAGAACTGTATTTATAATAGTTAATGTCTGCAATAAATCACTATTTATCTTCATCTAACTATGTCTAAATACAAATGTGTAAATCAGTTATCTGCTCACCACTCATTGCGTGCGTCTGTCGTGGCGCGTCTTCGTTGGTTGATATAATGGCCTATATCAACCAATTAGGAACTACTTGGAAGTGCTACAGGATATTGTCCTTATGACAATATTCTGAGAATATAACTCTTATAGTTATATTCTATTAACAATTTCTTATAAATTGTTATGTAACGATTCACCCCGTTACATTACGTCAAAGTTAAAAGCTCCCCAACCTGGACGAAAATCTATGGCACAGCAAATGCATATTTGCAGGGATACATTGAACGTCAGCAGTTCGCTGAGAGGTCGAGTGACGGAATAGTCGAGATGAAGAGGTATCTTGATCTGGAAGAAACACCTACTCAGATTGATTATTTACTCGTGGAGATGGCGTTATCGCTGGAGGAAAGCCCACTGCGTATCGTGAAATATCTGGTGGAACTCTATGAGATCGGGGGGGCGTATAACGTGGTCGCCGGACTGCACACACTGCTACTTGCACACTACAGGATTGACTCAAAGGCGATGTGTCACGCATGGATGGAACTGAAATTGCACCCACAATATGTTCTCGATATGCTTGTTTTGAGTATGGATCAGCTAAACATTGAATTAGAACTGGTCGTCGTATCGGTGTGGTTAAGGTACGTTGACCTGTACCGAAAGAAGTACCCGCGAACTTATAGTGCCGAAGACGCGTTGAAACATTTGTTTCGCAACAAGGGAGCCGTAGAAGTGGAGAAGATTATTGGAAAGATCCCGGATGTCGGTAAAAATAAGATGGTCAAAAGACAGCTGCTCAAACTATACCATGCCGCTGTGACGAGTGAACAGGATATGGATACGAAGAGTCGGTTCTACAGGCATTTGAAGGATTGGTTCGAGAGGTTATTCGACGCCCATTGGTTCTTCAGGCATCTGAGGGATTGGTTCAAGAGTATATTTTAAGTAAGCGTCGTAATGAGTAAGTCGATGATGTGAATGTGCATCGGATACAGTAGGCTTAGAGGTAGCATAAGTACTATGTGAACTAAGGACCTCTTAAATTACATCATTTTCCACATTTTACCGCTCAAACGACATTCGCTAAGTACGAAGCTCGACTGGCCGTCGACGAAATCTGTAGTCGACTTCAAAGTATAGATAAGGGGAGGCTTAACGTACCGGTCGCGAGTAGGTCATTTTATCGGCGATGTCGGCCAAATAAAAATGGCCGCGGACCGTAGCACAGTCCTTTTGAGTCCTGGCAGATGTCAGTTAGAAATGAACAATTTGTGTAATCATTTGACTTATCCTCTCTCTCATATCAATTACCAATTTTCAATTTATGAAATCATCTGATTTGTCCATCAGAATCAAAAGGGGGAAAGGGGGAGTGACAAAAAATGTGGGGCACATGGGAAGGTAAACTCACATCCCTTTTATAGGCCACCACTCCTCTCTTGTATCCTGCACAGTACAATTGTATATAAATAGTGCTATTTGGGTCGTGCTCTGTGATCCCGCTGATCACCCAAGCACGAAAATCGTTGTGTAACGGGGCACCCTGAAGCTTGTACTGGTGACAGTACAAGCTACTTATTCTGATAACAGAATAAGGCGGTGCCTCGTAACTTCACGTACACTCGTACGTGCAGAGGAAGACGGTAAGAAGAAGCGAGTACTTGGTTAGAGTAAAAAGTAGAACTGTATTTATAATAGTTAATGTCTGCAATAAATCACTATTTATCTTCATCTAACTATGTCTAAATACAAATGTGTAAATCAGTTATCTGCTCACCACTCATTGCGTGCGTCTGTCGTGGCGCGTCTTCGTTGGTTGATATAATGGCCTATATCAACCAATTAGGAACTACTCGTAAGTGCTACAGAATATTGTCCTTATGACAATATTCTGAGAATATAACTCTTATAGTTATATTCTATTAACAATTTCTTATAAATTGTGATGTAACGATTCACCCCGTTACATCACCCCCCCTAACCATCATTCACTTTAGTGATTGATTAAATGGATACTCGTCCCAAATCATTTGGGACGGGGTTTGCACTTGTTGGTCCGCGTCCACTTTCCAACATCTCATCGCATGGTAAACAAGCCCATGCGATGCGCGAGCAAGGCCGCCGAGAGCGCGTCTGCACGTCTCTGTGCGGACGCCGAAGCAGAAACTACAGCAACTGATATCCCATCGGTTGCTGAATCGACTCAGCCTGTATCACCTGGTGATGCAGGCGCTGGTCATGAAGACACTCGTGTCTTCACAGAGTACGAGCTCGGTGTCTCGTACTCTCCTGATACGGATGACGGATCCGTATCGACGGCAATTGAATCCAAGCCGCCTGCCAAGCGTGGCATGGACGATGCTTTGCGTCGCAGCATCTTTGGTTCATCTGACGAATCAGATGAACCATCGCCGAAGCGAAGGCGCTCGAGGTCGCGAGACTCGGGCGCTAATAGTGGTGTCGTTTCTCCAATGGACACCACTTCACAGCGAGGTGCCAGTACTTCTGTCGGCACGTCGCAGGAAGAGCGGGACCGCAATGTGTTGCGTCTCGCTCCAGAAAAGAAGGCATGGATGCCTCCTAAATCCGTCATGGATCACTTGTCGGCGACGACGAGTGATCGTTATCGAACACGATTGTTCGATTCGTCGAGGATTCATCACCTTGACCCCAGCGCGAAAGACTATCGCGCTGAACATGAGTTCTTCATCGATGCTTTCTTCAGACATCGATGGTACAGTGGGAATCACAAACGTGATGGTCCCTCACTACTTCAGGCGTGGAACGCCTACATCCATAATCTCGAGGATGTAGGTCGTGACGCTTGGAACGACAAACTTATCAAAGCTCGTGATAAGTTTGAAAAGCGAACCCCGACAGGTGCACGCTATAAGCTGCATCGTCTGTCAAGGGAGAAAGGATTACCCTGCCTCTCTTGGGGAGACTCGTGCCCATGTTGTGTGAACAACTCTGCACGAGCACCTAAGGAGGCTTACCTCCTTACCAGCCCGTGGTGGCGCGTACGTGTCTCTACTGAGATGTACGAAGGGATTGACAACCTGAAATCCCTTTACGACCGTGCCGGGAAGACTTTCTCCGGCGGTCCTTCTGCGGCACAGGATGTGTCGCGTCGTACTGCTCGACCAGACCCAGTACGTCAACCATCAATTGGGAGCGGGGCTCCCAAGAATCCCAGGACGGGGGATAGCCGCGCCACCGGACGAGGTAACTCGTCCGACGTCCGTTCACGTCGCGGTGGTTCAACAGCTGCTCTACTAGATAGCGCTGGCCACCGCGAGAGTCCTCTAATGGAGGTGGAGGAGGAGGAAAGACGCTCTCCACACGATCATGTGGATCGGTGTGTTCCCGAGAGCTTCTTTGATCGCGTAACGCAAGGGTTACGCGACGATCTCGAGCATGAGCGGAATAGGCGTCTCCAGATGGTGGACACTGCCTCGAAGCATCGAGCTGAGTTTGCCTTTGCTCAGCTTGAGAACGAGAGATCTCTGACATCTCTTCGTGACGAGCTAAGGGTAGCTCGTGGGATTGTTGATCGGTCTCGGGCTGAGATAACTGCTCTTCAGACCCTTGTTGATGCCCACCATCGGGAGCACAAGGCTCTCTGCGAGATGCTTGAGCGCAAGGGCGTTCTTCATCGGAAGAAGCAGCGTACTGATGGTACGGCTTAAGCCGACCAACGTAAAACGTGGAATGCGTTCGCATCTTACGTGGTAACTCGATCGTGTATGCATTGCCTAGGCGGTGCAATACACGAAATGGGCCAATGTACTTGGGTAGTAGTTTACTGCTACCCAAGTTAGTCACTACATGCTTTGGTAGATTAACCGTAGACAGTAGGACTAAGTCACCTTTATTAAATAAAAGAGTGTTTGCCCTTCCATTCTTGTCAGCGTTTTGCTTTTGCTTATCCACCGCTTCGGCGATGGAGTCTTGCACAAAACGGACTACCGTTTCACGAGCCAGTATGAACTCATCTGATGACTCGTTAGCTTCAGTGTGCTGTGAGCGCACTGCAGCGACAACAACCTTTTCTTCAGTGAGGGCTTCCGCACTCTCACTGGGATCATTGTCTTCAGTGAGGGCTTCCGCACTCTCACTGGCATCATCTTCTTCGATATCGATGTTATCGATATCGGCATCAAACGCAATGACTTCTTCGTCAGAGCGTGATGAGCGTGAACCAAATCGGTTTTTGCTCGCGCGAGTCCCTCCCCCCTTAAACCAGAGTTACACTCTAGTAAGGTGGGTACACGCGGATGGCGCAAGCCATTCACGTAAAACGGTGTATGTGTCGTGGACGCATGCACCGAGTTGTTGATGGCAAACTCTACCATCGGCAAAAACTCACTCCAACTCTTAAAGGAGTGTACGTATCCTCGAAGTATCTCTTCAAGGACACGATTGGCACGTTCCGTCTGACCATCTGACTCTGGATGATCAGATGTTGACATCTTCAAGCGCGTTCCGAGTGATTTGAACACGGAACGCCAGAAATCAGCAGTGAATCGTGGATCTCTGTCTGATACGAGTTCACGGGGCAACCCATGAAGTCGGAAGATGGTGTCAATAAAGACACAAGCACAGCCACTTGCCGTGATTGTCTCTGGTACAGCCACAAGGTGTACCATTTTGCTGAATCTGTCAACAAATACGAGAATACCCGTATTCCCGCGTGCGTCTTTGGGTAACCCGAAGACGAAATCCATTGAGATGGATTCCCAGCACTCAGCCGGAACCGGTAGAGGCTGTAAAGGTGCACGCAGTGAAGGACTTGACTTCACTCGTTGGCAGACTTCGCATGCGCGAACATACTTTCGCACAAACTGATACTGGCGGGGCCAGTAAAAGTCTCGACTTACCGTGAGATATGTTTTCTCTCGGCCACGATGTCCTCCTATAGGAGCATCGTGATACTCGAACATGATCCGCAAACGCAGATCAGTATCATCTGGAATGACAACACGTGGTGTGTCACCAGAAACGGCTGTATAATACAGTAAACCGTTACGAGTAGTGTATCGATCTGATGCAGATCGATACGCAGACGACAATCGTTTCAACGATTCTCGGGATGGTTGGGAGAGATGTGACAACAACTTCACTATCTCACCATCTTGGGCGTATGCCCGCCTCACATCATCATACAACGTTGTAGATGGAACTGAGGACGTCATAACCGCAACAGTGACTGTCTCACTGTTGGGTTTCGCGACTGTTTCAAAGTCGGGACGACGTGAGAGTGCATCAGCGACGACATTAAGTCGTCCTGGTTTGTACTCGACCGTAAAGTTGTATTCTGCAAAGAATGACAACCACCGCGCCATTCGTTGTGAAAGGTGCGGGCTGTTCACTGCCGTGCGTAAGGACGCATGGTCAGTGTAAACAACGAAGGGTCTATCTCCTAATAGATAGACTCTGAACTTCGCGAGTGCATACTTCATGGCAAGGAGTTCCTTGTCATGCACTGGATAGTTCCGCTCAGCTGGTTGCAGCTGACGCGACTGATAGCAGACGACGCGTTCAACGCCTTCAAGGTCGTACTGCATTAATGCACAGCCGATTGCGAAATCGCTGGCATCACAGACCACATGAAATGGCCTGTCCTGATCGGCTATTGCTAGGACTGGGGATTGTATCAAGCTCTGCTTGATACCCTCAAAGGAGCGTTGACATTCAGCGTTCCATAACCACCTCTCGTTCTTTTTCAACAAACGAGAGAGGTGTACAGTCATCTCGGCGTAATTGCGTGAATACTTATGCAAATACGCCGCTAGCCCAAGGAATTTTCGAAGACCTTTGACATCGACCGGCACGGGCCAGTCGGTGATCGCCTTGGTCTTTTCGGGATCAGGACGTACACCGTTCTTACCAACGATGCACCCAAGAAGTGGTATTTCGCTTGCTGCAAATATACACTTCTTGAG